GGTTTTTTAGCGCGTCCTAACCGCCGGGGCGCATTTTTAAGCCCCGGTACCTAAACGGCCAAATAACGGTATCGAATTAAATAGCAATATTTTGCTTTTTTTGGGGTACGCCGGCCGGATATGGCCTAACTTCCTATACCCGTAATACCGTACTTTAGGCCTTTTCCCTTTCGCTTTTTGTATAATTGCTAGGGCTAACGGGGTTTCCGGGTTGTCCGTCCGTATTTTGCATACTGTAACGATATGGTTTAGCTACCCGTACTTAAAGCAAATAACCGGTTTTTTAAAAGCTAAAACACTTATATCCCCCGGGGTTCCTTTATACGGTCCCGATATTATCTTTGCTTTAAAGGCTTTGGCTTGCAATTTTTTTATGGTATAAAAAAAGCCTCCAAATATTACCCGTTTTTGGATTTTGGGGCGGAATCGGTTAAAAAGTAATGTTGTCCTTATCCATTCGGGTATTAATTCGGAAAAGTCGTCCTTTACCAAATCCCAGCAAATTCGGAACGCTTTAAACAATTCGTAATCTTTTTATTTAATAACGGTATTTCCCGCAAACTTTTTAATTGCTAGTTATATCCGCGAATTAAAGTTTTTCGACCTTGCTTAAAGCTACCGCAAAAAATCGGCCTAAATAAGCAATACCCCGGTATTTAAATAATGCATTTGCTTATATTTTATCCATTATGCCCGTTAACGATAATCGAAAGTGCTGGAAACTATTTAAACTTTTACACAATCCTTACCGTAACGTTCCCTTTCGCTTTCGAAAATAAATTTGTAATTGCTAATATAATAAGCGATATTTTGCCAAATTGCTAATTTTTTAAACATAAAAAGCTTAAAAATAATTTTATTTTACGTAAAACCTTTCCGTCGTTTAAAAATGTTTTTTTATTTTCGTTTAAATTTTTATGCGCATATTTTAACCTTTTATTTTGGATTTTTTGAATTAAACGGGCGCGCTTGCTTTAAACCTTTAGCGCGTTGTTTATTTTTTACAATTTTTTTACGAAAAGGTTTTCGAAATTATCGGGAATTTGCGGGGCTTTTTTGGTATTTTGTTCCGGTAGCCCAACGGCTTTTTCCAACGTGCTTAACGTAGCGTTAAGCGTTATTGTAAGCGATGCAAAGTTGCAAATGCCTTTTTTAAATTTGTTTAATCCCTTTCGGTAATTACCCGGGCTTATTTTTTAAATAAAAAAAGTATAAAAAAAAACAATATATTAAAAGTTAATTGGTGCAAAAGCGGGTAATTACGGGGTTACGGGCCGAATGCGGTATTTTTTTTGTTAAACTTTTGTAAATTTTTTACCAAAAGTGCTATCGCCAACAAAAATTGTTTTTTTTTAACCTTTTTTTTTTCGTGCCCTTTCGGGCACCCGGGGTTGGTTTTTTAAATTTTTCGCGTTCCAAACGCTTTCGTGCAATTTAAACTTTACCTTATTTTTTAATTTTGCTATTATGCTTTGGCCGCGATACCGGTAGCTTGCCGGCATGTCCCCGGGGGGTCCGTGCCCGGCTGGCTGCCAACGCTTCCTTCCTCCTTTTCTGCCGGGCGGTTTCGCCCGTGCATTTAACGCTCCCCGCTTTCTGCCGGGCGGTTTCGCCCGTGCTTTTGACACTAGGGAAGCAGTAGCTTTTTTATTATTTTATTGCTTTTTTACAGAACAGGCCTTGGGTAAGCCAAAAAAAAATATTCCCCCGATTAAACGCTTTTAAAATATACGTAAAAAAGCTAATAATACCAAATACAATTACAAGCACCCGTTCGGCCAAGCCCACTTTCTCCTCCGTAACATTTGGCGCGCCACCCATATTCGACAGGGACGTTAACGCCCGCCTCGATACCACCTTCCCCAGCAGCCCCTTCCAGCCCGGCGCTATACTGGCAGTTGCTAATAACAAGGACCCGATCCCGCGCAGGAGTTTGAGGAGGGCAAGGACGACGAGGATGGCAAGGCGCTCGCGGCTTGCCGCTTTAGCCGCCGCGACCTATAAAAGCGAGCGTGGGCGGATCTGTGGGCGCACAAAATAAACCTGTACGTAGAGTGGGCGGCCTGTATTAGTAAAGGGCGTTTTAACGGAGAGCCGGAGGTGGTGTCTCGGGCTGGGTGGCGGCGCGTTGTTCCAATAGCGGCTGGTGGGCCCTCGCTCATTCAGATGACGCCGAAGCTGAGCTGTGCCGGTGGCAGCGCTGGACAGAGCCAGAGGTGATTGGTGTCGGTGGTGGCTGGGACAAAGAAGCCGGGCACGATGATCATTCGTCACTCTTACATAGAAGTGTACTTGCAAGCGGGTTGTTAGGCGCTGGGTACATTGGTCTTTTCAGCACGAAAGAATTATTTCCAACCCCAATGCTGCCCATCTAGTCAAGTCACAGGGTTGGCCCCAATTTTCTGCCGACACTTCTTGTCTAACGATTGGGGCCGCGGCGCGGGCAGGATCTTGTACAGTGAGTTGCTACTGCGACTGCGGGCCGACGCTCGGCGTCCGCACCGCCGTTGCCGTCGTCGCCGTGCCCAACAATGCGAGCGAAGGCTTGCACCGTGGGTGCGGCTTCGTCCGCGCCGGCGTTCTGCACGAGGTCGGCAACAAGTTTGGACGCTGGATTGACACCGCGCTGTGGGACTGAGCTGCACCTGCAAGTACTTTTGGTCCGCCCGACCCTCCAATCCATAATGCTTCACACAATCCATCACGCCTGAGCCTCCCCCTTTTCGATCTCTTCCATCCTCGCAAACGCGGCACCTGCCTGCTTGCGCGCCGCGTCATCCACTCCTTCGGCTGCGTCTCTCACGGCCGCGAACCTCTCCTTCCATAGCGCCCACCGCTCCGGACACAACCCATCTTTTCCCTTCAGCTTCCGGCCCAGCTTCGCAGCTTCCTTTTTATCTTGGATCCTCCACAGCGGTCCCGCCGTGGCACCGGAAACCTCCTCGTTCCGGCCGTGTAGCATGTGGCCCGCGTGGATCATCCAGGCAGCCGCGCACGCCATCTTTATAGACAGGTCCTTGACCGACGCCGGGTTCGCATTCACCTCGTCGGGTGCGCCGCGTACGGGCTCCATCGTCCCCTCGAGCGCGTCGACAAGCGCCCAGATGGCGTACATCTCGAGGGGTACGATGCCGTAGCCCGCGACGCGGGCAGCGTAGGCCTGCAGATTGATATGGCGCTGCTTTCTCTCCACCTCTGAGGAAGCTTTACTGTCACCTAATCCAAGGTTAATTTCCCATTGAGTGTGAGCATCTTGTTACTTCCCATTTGCGCTGCGTGATATGTGAAAAAGTAACAACGCAAGGCGGGAGAGGACAGCCGACAAGGCACCGGGTTTGCTCACCGTCGTCCATCTTCTCGCGCAGCGTGTTACCAAACATTGGCAACCCCTTCCAAGGCGCGATCTCCTCTTCCCCGACGTCGCCCCACCGCTCGCCCAGCCTCACCATCCTGTCGGCGGGCAGGTTGTGCAGGGTCGCAACGACGGCGGCGAGCCTATCGTGGGCTTCGGTGTCCTCGTGGGGCAGGACGCGGCCGAACTCATGGACCAGGTCCCAGAACCACCAGAGGAAGGAGCCCGCCTCGCCCTGCTCCTTGGCGTCGCTGGCGCAGAGGTCGTCCAGGGCCGCGGCGGCCTCGGCGGCCGTCGACATGGGCTGCGCCGGCGGGAGCATCGCGTTGAGGATCCTAAGTGCCTCCCGTGCCGACTCGGACGCTTCGTCGTAGCCGAGCGCCGCTAGCCGTGCACTTTTGGTCGACATTTTGTGGTGATGATGGTTCGTTTTATCGAGCGAGATTTGGTTTTGGACAGTGTTGGAGGCCAGCAAGTCTAGGTAAGAGGATGAGATGCCAATAGCAAACCACGATGCTAAAAGTCAAGGCGATGTAGAGATGAAATGGTGCTTTGTAGATGCATGCAAGATTCGGCGTGCGTCATACGGCAGAGGGGGCGGCAAAGGGTGTAGGGAAACGAAAGTCCCACAAAAGAACCGGAAAGCTGCCATCCGTCAGGTTTCATGTCACGATTCATCCAACTCATCCCCTTAAGTGCCGTTGGGCCCAGGTGCCCGGATTGGAAGGTGATCAGCAAAAGCACCCTGGTTGTTGGTGTGACTTGGAGGTACGGATTTTCAGGGGCGCGGTGCGAGTATTGCGACGTACTGCTTTGTAGCAATGACTTGTGCTGGTACTTCTATCACGGACTAAATAAGGCGCAGGTGGAAGTACTGAAAAAATAAACGTTTTTATTGGCTAACGCACGCAAGATCAACGACCGGGGGCTGAACGGCACTTGAAGGGATACCCCACGTAGCATGACATACAGACGTGATTATTTCCCCGTGCAACAGCCTACCTTGTCGATCGTCCACCTGAGAAAAGTTATGGGGAAAAAACGGCAGTGGCTGTGCGACAACCGGGAACAGGACCGCGCCTCCCTCGGGTTATTTTAAGAGTAGTATAGGTGTCCAGGATCACAAACACCAGTGCGGTGGAGCAAGATACATTTTCTTCCTTAGAAAACCAAGCCAAACTGATATACCACCAAGATCCGCCGCGCTAGTGTTTGTAATCCTGGACACTTGTAATAACAGGCGGAGCCCATGGGTTTTCGGGCAATCGGTCGAAATCTCAAAATATGGCCGAAACCTAGTACTCGCCGTCGTTTCGTGCGCTACTATGAGTCGTGAATAATTTGCCTGAACGGGTTGGATTTAATGCCTTGGGTGCCCCGACGGCATGAGCCGAGGAGCGCTAATTTTAGCGACGTGGTACCTATGTTTGCGTCAAGTTGGCATAATACAAACCCCCGGAGTCCACACACATACGCGTTCCCCCCTGGACCGCGTCGTCAGCCTCCGAACGATTTCTGCCTCCGCGGACGCCATGCGGCCGACTCCCTCGTTTTGTCCCAAGTTTGGCAAGGGGACATGCGAGGAGATTTTCCGGCGACATTTTTGCCGTGTCCACAGGGCTGCTTGCGAGTACCAGCAAGCTCAACAGTCTTTGCAAAGCTGGTATAAAGATAAGAATGTAATGCCCTCCCAAATCCAAAAAGTTTCCTTCCTTTCTTACCACCAAGGCTTTTGGTTCTTCTCTTTCCTTTCCTACAGTTTCATATTCTCTTTCCTACAGTTTCATTCACTGAGCGAGACAACACGTCCTTTTCTAAAGACGCAAAGACAAGAAAGCTTTCTCTCAGCTTTCCCGAAGCGCTTATTCCATTCTTTTAGCACCGTGCTCCAGTTAAACTTCTTTCGCTATCGCTCTTCCCCCACCAGTCAAAATGGTCTGCTTCTCCCAGCTCTTCACCCTCCTCATCGCGACCGCTGCCGTTGCTAGCCCTGTCGACATTGCCAGCAGCGCCCTCGAGGCCCGGCAGCAGGGGTCCATGTACGTTTGCCGTTCTGGCGCCAATAACGACGGGCAGGCTTACGGCACCGTCGGCATGGATAAGGCCATCGGCTACTACCGCCAGGCCGGCATTAAGGCCGGCGCGAGCGGCTACCCGAAACCCTTTGGCAACGCCGGTAACGTTTTGAAGTTTGCCAGCGGCTGCGGCTCGGACGTTTATGAGCTGCCGCTCCTGGCCAGCGGGAGCGCCTACCTCTACAATCAAAAGAAGACAGGCAACCCGCCTGGGCCCATCCGGGTTTACTACACCTCGGCCTTGAAGTTCTGCGGCATCGGCGCTAAGGAGAACCCGAACGGCTCTGGTAATCCCCACAACTGCCAGCTGGCTTAATCGGCAAAGAGCCATCTTTTTCCTGGGCTTCTCTTTTTGTTGCTGGACTTCTTTGGTTTTTATTTGTTATAAGCGCGTTTGCATTCGTGTTATTAAGGTGGAGAATTGCACGCATTACAAGCAAGCATAGCGGGTAAAAGCATAGCGTAGTAGCATAACGTATCATCCTTTTAAGTGCCAAAGTGTACCAAATTGCAGATTTTAAAGCCCCAACTAACCAGCATCGGTTTTTTTCCGGTACCTTAATTGCAGTACGCGCTGTTACGGGCTGAAGGCCCGTGTTGTAGCTCCGGCTATACCGGAGCCACACCGTCACATCCGGGCGGCGACGCCGCGGAGACCCTAGCCACACCCGCGACGCTACATGGCGGCGCCCCCGCAGCGGCAAACTGGGTTCTCTCCCTCGTAAAGAAACCCGGCCAAAGGCCTCTTTTCTCTTTCCTACTCTTCGTAATAATATAAATTCCTTTGGCTGCACCTGAGCGTAAGCTGTTGGCGTAAGCCCTTTACACGCGCAACGCTATAAAACAAGTGCCAGCAAAAGTTGTAATGACATAAAAAAACTTTGCACTGCAAACATTTATATCTTACAAATTTGTACAGGGTATGAGGATATTAAACGGTACAACCCGCAAATCCTTTTTAATTAAGCTACGTTTAATTTATATTTTTTCTTATAAAAAACCCGTTAACTCGATGTATCGCTACCCGCACTTTTATTTAAACCCGGTTAAGGCTTAACTTGTGTGGGTAAGATATTAACGCTTGCAGCGGTGTAACGCGTGCGTTAATTTGCACCGCAGTACTTTTAATTAACGCATTTTAACGCCGGCGATTCGCACCGTAATAGCTTTAATTTAACGTACCGCAAAACTTTTAATTTAATGCCTTTTTAATTACACGCCCGGCTCGATACGCACGCGCGTTAAGCGCGTTACTTACGGCCGGCCTTTTTTTTTGCAACCTTTAACGCTTCCCGCTTGCCTTCTTACCAGCCCGCTAACTGCTTGCCCTTCTTTAACCCTTTTTAAGCTACGCGTTAAAAAGCTTAATTGCTATACTAAAATTAAAGCACGCGCTTTTTACGAATATGCGGGCTTTTTTAATACAAAAATTGTAATAGGTCAAACCACCAGGTGGTGCCCGGCAGGTGCTGAAGTAGTGTTATTCTACGAGATAAGGAGGAAGGAGGAAAGGGTTGTGTCCTTGTCCTTGGAAGAGTCGGGGTGGTTCCTATATACATGAGTCCTAGCCCAAGGGGGCACCCCTTGGGTCACGTGATCCGTGCCCAGCACGGATCCATAACAAAATTGCGGAAGTAATGGGAATTACTTGCCGTTAAGTTTAATTAACTTGCAAAAACGTTATTACTTTTATAAAGCTGGTAAGGTTTGTTACGGAACTAAACCAAAGTAGTACCCGTTATACCAAAGCAAAAAAAAAAAACGTTGTTATAGTTAAAGCTACAACCTATGCAAGGTTTTATAAGCGATTATATTGTAACAAGGTTAGCTTTTATTGCAAAAGCTATTAACGAGCAAATACGTGCATTAAACGAGTTTTTGCAGGAAAACCTTCGTTACCGCTAGAATTTTTAAGTTAATTTTTAGTATTTAATGCTTGGTTTTTCGAATTAAAGCTGTACTGTTATGCATTTTTTTTATATATTTTTATTACAAAAAAAATGCGATAAAATGCAAAGCTTTTTTTTAAAGTACGTTAACTTTTATTTATACTTGCGCATTAAGCTTTTAAAAAAATAACTAACAAAAAAGCATTAAATATAATTTTTTTTAATTTAATAAAATTTTGTACTTTAATTAGTTTTTTTTTATAAAATTAACGATATATAATAATTTATAACTGCAAAAATTTACCAATTTTCGCATTAATTAAATAAAAAGTTACGGATTTATATTTTAAAGCTTATTTACAAGCTAAATTAAAAGCTAAACGTTTTTTTAGCTTAATAAAATAAGCATTAATGTTGGTAAAAGTCTGGTACTCCTGTTCTAAGGCTCGGAAATCTCCTGGTAAAGGTGAACAACGATCTCAATGATCTGGGGAAAATCCTATTATTGTGCACACCGAGGAAGGAATCTATCTGCCAAAAGAAGGGCACAGGATTGCCCCTTATATGCGCAGGGACAATCACCCAAAGGGTGGTTCCCTGCTCTGCCTAAGGCAGATAGAGTTGGCCCGTGCGGGATCCGGAGGACCCCAGAGCCTCTTGTAACAACCTCCCTTTCCGGATCGCACGCGCACCGCAATGCTGTTCCAACAATTAACGTTTTTTAATACTGCAAACGTATATTTCCGCTAATTTTTAGCTGCTAAGCACGTTTTAACTGGGTAATTAGCTTATTAAATTATTAGTAAAAGAAAAAATCGGGTTTAAATTTTTGGATTAAATGCACCGCGTAATTAGTATAATAATACTAATTACCAACTCCAGTCCCCACCATTACGGCTTAGCTTCTGCCTGGCGCTCGCTTTTCTTAGGCCTCCTCATTGGAACACTTCTGAAAGGAAGCCCGGTATCCTGGGAGATGTACCCGGCGCGCTCGTACAAAGTCACAGCCAGCTTGTTCCCGTCCAGATACGAGGGGTAGTCTAGAGTATCGGCCAGCTCCATGCCTATCTCCACCATCCTTGCGGCAAGCCCCCTGCCCCGGACGCTTGTGTGGACAGCAATTGTCTCGAGGACTGGATGAGCACGCAAAAGCCTGTCAGAAATGAAGCAAGCGAGCCAAAAAGCCATTTAGGGGGTATCAATTGTACTCACAGATGTGGCTCCCCTGGTCCATGACCTTCCTGTGATTGTTCTCCATCATGGTGTAAAAGGCATCCATCTGCTCCCAACCAAGGCCGGCCACGCGCGCAGGGTACCGCTCGTGCCACGGCTGGAACTCTCCATTTTTCGCGTCGACGATCCAGTAAAACGAGAAACCAACCGTCTTCCCTGTTGCCGTGACCAACACCCGGAGTAAGCTCAGGATTGGCAGGCGCATGTACTGGCATCTGGACAATACGCACCGTTCTCGTTGCGGAGCACAAAGACGCGCGACTCGTGTCTGCCAACGTCGCCCCTGACGAAGCCTTCGTAGGCCTTTTCTATCCAGGCTCGGCTCTCGGGCGTGGGCGGAAACATCTCATTCATCCTTTCGCTCTCGAAGGCGTGGATCAAGATATCGACGATCCCGGGCACGTCGGCCACTGTCGCTGGCGTGATAACATGAGCATTTGACATTTTGTCCAAGTAATGTCTGCGTGTGTGGGATTCCAAGGGAACGAGGGCAAAGTTGAGGACATGGGTAAGCAAAAGAAATCTTGTGTGAGAAGGATGACTTCAGGCGCTATGCAGTGGGTAATATTTATTTCAGCGAAGCCCGACGTGCACCAAAACCCTGCTGACACCGCCACCTACCGGACGGAGCGCAGCGAGGGGAGGTAGGCAAGTGGAAGCAGGGTTTTGGTGCGCGGAAAGCGTAGCTATTCTTTACCGGGGTAATTTAACAAAATTGCTAACAAAGGTTTTTCTTATTCGGGATACAATCCGTAGCTTAAATGGCCTGTAGCCAATTTACGCACGAAAATCCAATTATTTTCGCTTAAAATTGGTTAATTTTAATCCTAAACAGTGCGGTAGCGGGCGGGGGCGTAATGGCAGCCTTCCGCAAGAAAAAAGCCCTTCGCAAAAAAAAAGCCTTTCGCAGGAAAAAAGCCCTTTGTAAAAAAAAAAAGGGTCCAAAAGGTTTCCCCCGGAAATTACGCCCTAAAAATTAAAAATTTAAATAAAAAAATTATAACTGGATTTGCTTGCTTAATTAATTAAAGCGATTAATGCAAATTGGTAGCGGTAACGTTATTGCAATTAATTTTATCGTTAATTATCGCGAAATTTGGCTTGGTATTTTGGCTTTTAATTAGTGCTTTAAGCGGGGCTTATATCCTAAAGCAATTAAATTTATTGCTAAATTTACTTTTTACCGCCCGTTTACCGCTTATTGCTGCTTAAAATAATGGGGCTAAAAACACGTGCTTTCGCTCCGTACCTTACTAAACGCCCACGATCAATGCCGCGCTTTTTTTTACCCCGCCAAAAAAAGTTAATCCCTATTTGCAATTCCCTTACCGTCGGTAACCGTTTGCACGCCTTTTCCTTTAAATTTCGATAGCGCCATTAAATTGCATTAAACCGAATCGATTAATAAAGTATTTAGGCTTTTCCGCGTTAATTAATATTTTTTTTGGACGGATTGTTAATATATGCGGGGTGCAAAGGCTGCAAATTGCAAATCGCAACCATAGCCAATCCTTCCGATCCTTTTAACCCCCTTCCTTTTTTAACCGAAACGAAACAATGCTATACCTGCAAAAAAGTTAAGCCTTTTGCCAAATTTAAGCCTATTTAAAGTACCAAACATATTGCCAATTGCTTAGCATGTTGCTTCCAATAAAGTTCCGTTAAAAAGGCCGGCAATAACCTCCGGAATACCGTTAACAATTTTAACCGTATTTTTTTAAATTCCAAAAAGGCCCGTACAAAAGATTTTGCATTGCCCAACCAAAATGCTCGCTTTTTTATTCGGCAAAAAATTAATAAAGGTAACCGACCTTTTACTCCGGCGGGAGGTTTACCGGCACCTGCCCTCCGGCCGGTACTTACGTCCCGGCCGCTACTTTTCTTGCTAAGGCCTTCGACCGTTCCCTTCCCCCGTAGCATGGATTTTAATGCTTTTGCGTTTATATAACGGGCACAAAACCGTTGTATTACCATTTAGCGCAAATACCGAATTTACCGTTGTGCTAGCAAAAAAGTTTTACCCATGCAATTACTAAAGCGCTTTATAACAAATTCAAACCCTTTAATTCCTTTTCCATTTAACCGTAACAAAATTTAACAAATATTCGAAAAACGTTAACGTTAACAAAAATAAAAACAACAAAAATTCGGTAATTTTTATAACGCTTTTTAATTTAAACTTTGCCGTTTTTAGCCTGCACTTTTTTCGCAAAAATCGTTTGCAATTTTGCAAACAATGCCTTTACTTTTTTCCGAATATTCGTTCCGTAGCAACAAAACTTTTTTTTACGACCTTTTTTTTTTACAAGCGTTATTTCGTAGCCTTTTTGCAAATAATTAAGCGGTTTAGCGAAATAATCGTTTTGTTACTTCCGAGCTTAACGTTAAAATTGGATAAAAAAATAAGCCCGTACCTTATTTAAAAAATCCCGAGCTTTTTTTTACAAATAACCTTTAATAATAATGCGTTAACGACCATAAATTTAAATGGATGCGCAATTTTCGTTGGTCCGTAAACGGTAATTTTATTTAAAAAAAGTGCTTTCGCTGTTAACGCAAATAATTTAACTTTAACGTTTGCAATAGCGTTTACAGTAATTACCGTTGCAAAAACGCCGGCCAGCTTGCTAACTTTCTTTTTTTATTTTCCAATAAAAATTATATGCATTTTAAAAACGTACCGCAAAAGTTTAAAAACTTTAGCACTTTAACAAAAATCGAAAAACAAATAATATTTAAAGTTTATATTTATATTAACGCTTTTTTTATGCGTAAATAGCAATTAAAGTACCAAAGTTACACCATTTGCTTCCAGCGCGATACAAGCGCTTTGTATAACAAATTCCCCCTCCTTTTTCGGAACGTTGGCGTTATTATTTTCCGCTTTATCCCTTTTGCTAGCGGCTTTTTTGCCAATAACTTTGCAAACGCTAGTTAAAGTCGGGGTTAAAATCGAAATCGAAGTTAAAAAGGCCGTGCAAATGCCGAACCTTTTACTTTTATTAACGATAACTACATGTTCCGTATTTTTAAAAGGGATTTTAAAGTTCGGCGTTACGTTATTTAGGCTTGGTTCGTTTGGTTAATAACCAATTAACCTGGCTATAAAAACTTAAAAATTAACGAAAAAATCCTAAAGTTCTTGTTTAAAAACGATAACGTGCGGGATTAGCTTATGCACGTTAACGTTAACGAAATTAACCATAAAGCTTTTTAGGCAGCAATTCGCGTAAACGCAAAGGGTAAGCGAAAAAACGCTATTGCTTCCAACCTTATAGGCAATTAACGAAATTTCGACCGATTTCGGGCCCAAATATTCCGCGAAACCGGCGACCCTACCGCCGTCCCAATGCGTATCGCAAACTTTTAACGCTTTCCAAAACGCTTTGTTAAAAATAACGTTTTTCTTTTGCCCGCCGTTAAATTTACGCTTATTAACGATTTTAACTATTGCGTCGTTTTAATAAGCCTGGCTTTTTTTTTACTAATGCTTTACGAAGCCGGTAAATATACCTTCCCTCGCTTGCGGAAAGTTAACTTTGCAGTTTAAGTACGATATGCTTTACATTAGCATAACGGGCGTTTTGCAAACCACCCCCGCTTTCGATACGTCGCTTTTAACGTTATAATAAAAGCTTAAATTAACAAAAAAAGCAACTTTTTCGTTAACCGTACTAGCACCCGCTACAAATTTAACAGCGTAAATTAGCTAAAAAAGGCTTTTAACGGGGATACCGCTAAAAGCCAGGCCCTATTTAACTTTATCGTCCGCTTCGCTAATATTTTAAAGGGTAAATTAATATTTTTTTATCCTTTTAGCATGTTTAAAGCAATACTTTTCCCTATTATTACGTTATTTCCCTTTTATACCACGTTGCGGTTCGGTAAATCCAAAAATCTTTAAAGCGTTTTAGCGTGCACCGGTATTTCTTTTATTACTTGCGGGTAAATATTGTAAGCCCGCAACCATTAAAAGCATAAACAAATAAGCACAAAGCGGGCGTTCCCTTTCCTCCTTACTTTTTATCGAAGGACAAAATTAACAATAACAAGCACCCGCCCTTTTTAAAAGGGGAAAAGCCGGAAGCTAAATGCCTTGTGCTATGCTTTTAGCTATTCTTACCTTTTTATAACGTTTTTAACGGCCAATTTGCACTAACACTTTTTGGCCAAAGTTATGCTTCGCTATTACGATTGGGAACGAAGCAATAATGCCGTTAAGCAAAAAATTGCCCGTAAAAACCTTTAAGCTTACTTTTAAATCGCCGCTTACCATTTTTATCGCCGATTTAAATTTTTTTTCGAAAAGTATTTAATAAAGCGGTTTAAATTTTCGGGTTATTGGTTTTGCTACGAATGGCAAAACCGTAGCAGCCTTTACATCCACGGCTTATTTTAAGTAATTAGCGCTTTCGACGTTACTTTAATAAAAGCAAAAAAAAGCAAAAAGCATTTTACAAAATTTTAAAGCATGTACGTTACCGCCGAAAATATAAAATTTGGCCGTGCTTTACCGCTTAACAAAAACAATCCTTTAAAGTACGATATCGGCCTTAAACCCAATAATTTGTAGCTTACTTTTAAATCCTTTTCCTGCATTACCAACCGAATTTAACGGCATTAATGCAACGCTACGTACTATATGCGGAAAAAAAAGGTGCCGAAACGCCGGCCCGTTGTTGTTATTAAGGGTTAACTTTCGGGCTTTATTGCCGAATATTAATTTCCGGCCCCCGTTGTTACAAAAAATTATCGCTTTTATTACTTTCGTGCCCTTTACTTTACCGTTTACTTTACCGATACGTTTAACCCCAATTACTTAATATACAACGGTGCCCGCCCTAACGACGAGCGTATAAATTAATATATACGCGGCGTAACCCTAACGTGGACGGCCAATACGGATGCAAACCTTTGCATTTCGCTTAAAAGTATGCTTAATTATATCGCTAAGTACGTTTCCAAAGCGGAAATACAAACGCTCCTTTTTAAAAAAATTATAAAAAGCGTTATTTTTAAAATTTTGCATATTCGGCCTTTAATATCCTTCGTTGCCAAAATAATAAATAAATTAATAGCCGAACGAAATTGGCTTGTTATAAAAATGTATTATTATTAATTCGGCCTTTTTTTAATCCAATGCAACCACGTTTTCCAATTGGTTAATTGCCGTCCTTTTAATTTTAACCAAAACGCCGCTATAATTAACGCTAATTACAACGAGGTTGTTACTATCCGCAAATTATACCAAAAGTATATAAACCGAAAGGATTGGCCGAACCTTACGTACTTTACGTTCTTTACAAAAATAAACCATAAGCGTATACCGTAATCTTTTTTTGGTCCTTACGCTAAACTTTGCGTACTAAATTACTTTCCGAAATATAAGCGTATCGATTCGGATAATAACCCCAAACGAAAAAATTATTGCAAGGTTAAATTAATGCTATACCATCCTTACTTTACGCTTAACGCCTTTAAAACCGTGCTTAACAAAACCTTTAACACTTTTTTTAAAGCATACGAACATTACCGGGCCAATTGCTTTATTTACAACGAAAATAGCTATATTTGTATCGACAAAAATAAATTTAAAAACGTTAATAACGAGTTCGAAAATAACCCCGAAACCGTTAATAACCCGGCGGATTTTACACGTACCGATTGGGCTTATTTCGTTGCTAAACTTCCTTTTTAAAGTTTTAAAGTTAAAAATATCGAAATATTCGGCAATAAAAGTTTTAACCTGGCAAAAAACTAGCAGTTTTACGTTAGCCGCTATGCAAATCTTTTTTTTTAGCGTTGGTTTTATTAAAAAAAATTCCGGCAAAGTAATTTAAAAATTAATAATGCCGTTTCGTTATCCGTTTTAAACCAGTTAAACCCGCAATAGCAATTATATTACGACCAAATCGTTAATTATTAAGTATTGGCCGTCGATTTTAACCGTTACTTTTTTACCCGTTGTTGTTAGCGTAAGCATTAATTGCTTTTTTAAATTAATAAACGTAAAGGTACGGGCAAAACTTTTGTTTTTAACTTTATTTGCTTTAACTTCCGCGCTTTTAATATTGCTTGTAGCATTAACCGAAACATTATTAAACGTATTGCACCGATTAACGTAGCAATTAATGCTATTAACGGTATTACAATCCATTTTTTCCTTCGTTTGCCGGTTTAATCCCATGCTAACACCTTTATAAACGATTTTATTGCACAAAAGGCCGCCGAAATCCGCAACGGTATAAAAAACGTTAAATACATTTTTTTAAACGAAAAGTCGATAATAAATATCGTTATTTTAAACTTTATCGACCGCCGCATGCATTAAATTTTTAAAAAGCCAAATTTTCCCTTTAGCGGCCGTAACGTTGTATTAATAAAAAACTTTTTCCAATTGCTTCCCGTTATGCAAAAGGCTTTGTATTTTTTTAAAACCAACCTCCGCACCCTCCCCGAAATGGCAGGACGCAACGCTTACTTTAAATTTAACAAAATTATCGAGCTTATTTAATTTATACGCTAAATTGGAAACGATACCGACGCTTTTAACTTTCGTACCGCTTTTAAAAGTTTGCAAAACAATACGCTTTTCCGCCGTAATTAGGAAATTTTATTAACCCGTATTTTTACCCGTTTCCGGCCTGCCAAAATTGCTCGCTTTAATAAGGCTATTTGCATTTATCCAATTAACGCATTAATTAAAAAGTATAACTTTACGCACTTAAAACATTTCGATAAGCTTGTAATCCAGGTCCGTACTAACAATACTGGCCAAAAAACCGAAGCCGTTAAATCCCGGAACGCCGGCAATTTGCACAATGCCTTACCTTTATGCATTAAAACTTAAATAATGATTACGAATAACCTTTGGACCAAAGCTGGCCTCGTTAACGGTGCTTCCGGTTACGTTTGGGATATTGCCTAAGCCTTTTGCACTATCGACCTTTGCGTTACGCTTCCCTTCCTTTTTTTAATGCAAATTAATAAATACAACGGCCCTTTTTGCTTTTTTAAGGACCCTAGCATTCTGGCCAACGTTATACTTATTTTCCGAATTTTTCGAAATTTCCAAAAAAAAAATACGGTTTGCAACAAAGTACAATTTTTTATTACGGTATCGTACGCTATTACTATCCACAAATTGCAAAGCATAACCTTTAATATCGCTATTTTCGATATTTTTGCCAAAAATTTCCAATTTAGCTTAACATACGTTGCTATTTCGAAGGTTAAATTTTTTAACGGTATTATATTTAACGTGCCTTTTTCTTTAAACAATATCCGTATCGCCAAAAATGCTATTACGCCTTTTCGCATCCAGGATTACGAACGCCGCAAATAACGTAACGAAATTTTTAAACCTTTTGCTACCTTTAACGTGCTTTCGTAAAAAGCTTCCAACGAAAAAGTTAAAAAGTTTATTTAATAATTGCACCAATCGTTTCTTTTTAAAGGTTTTAACTTTTAGGTTTAATGTTGTTTAGCGTTACCATTATCGTTTTTCCCTTTCCGAAAGGCTTTAATTGTACCAAAATTTAGGAATAGCAACAAAAAATTAGCGTTAAAATACGGAACGGAAAGTTCCCGGTAACCGTTACAAATAAATTGTACTAATTAAAATAATGTTAAAAATTTAAATTCCAAAAAAAATAAAGCTATTTGCAATTGCAAAAAAGTAGTTCCTTTCTTTTGCTTTTAAAAATAATCGTTAAAAAATAACGGTATAAGGTAAGTACAGGGTAAATTACCTTTTAATTGGAATTAAACCAAAAAAATAACGGTACAAAGTAAGTGCAAAATAAATTAACTTTTAATTTGGAATAAAAAAAAATAAAAAAAAAAAAGGAAATTTAAAAAAAAGCGGGGTTCGAACCCGCGCATTTGCAACTACGGCATTCCGGTTTTTATACCCATAACCCGCTAATTGTACCGCCCCGCACGCCCTTCCGTTAAACCACAAAAGTAATTTATTAATATTTATTAAATGCCGCGGTTTTATATAGTAAAATGCGCCCTTAATTTTTTATGGGTGGGTTTCCGGCAAAGTTGGCCTGCTTAACGGTAAAAAGTAAGGGCATTACAAATTTTTTAAGCCCACGTTATTAGCCCGGGGCATTAAATTAAGCACGGCCTTACCGCTGTATGCGTTATTTGGCCTGTGCGATAAGTAAGGTTAAAACAATAAAAAAACAGCTACGCCCTAAAGCTTCGCTAACGCCTTTAATGCTTTTTTATATTGTCCGAAAAACGAGTTAAAACACCAAAAAAGCACTGTTACTTTATTCTTTTGCCTTAAACATCTAAAATTAAAATCAGGGCAATTTGACGGTTGCCCCCGGAGGGCCGTGCAGGCGTTAAATTAGCGTAGCGGCACCTGATTTTATATCGTTTTAGCTGATACCTCCTAGTCCGAAGCGCGCAGTCCTGCATCCTGCCAGAATCATGTGGCTGCCGCAGAATCTAGCTGACGACAAGCTCATGCGTGGCTCACATCGGGGCTTTAGCCCCAGATCGAGCACGCACTGGTTTCTGGACTTCCCGCACAAGCATGTGCAGTGTGCTACTGGCGGGCTGTCAGGCCGGGGTGACACTTGGAGGACAAGATGTGGATATCTGATCCGCGCCTCGGCCCACCTCCGCATGCCACCCACACCGTACGCAATGCGGAAGGTTCTAGGCCGAACTCGGCTGCTCCTTGCTGCTCTGAACGCGGCCAGGCAGCAACATGCGCACGTCGTCCCCCACGTGCCCGAAGGTCCTGTTGACGACGCTCGACACGACCCTTGGTTAAATGGATCGTCTGTGACATGAACTTGGCACTTTGAGGAACGCGAGAACGGCTGGGTCCCTGCCTGCGGTTCGAGTTGTGTTCGAACTTGGGGTGACGCGATCGCATTTCGATTTATCGAGTCATGCGAGTTGTATCCTGAGTTCTGCCATGTGACTTTGCCAATGATTTACAGGCAGTTATCAACACGCCAGATTGATGGCTCGTTGGCTGGAGAAGGCGAAAAAGGCCCGTCCGTGTCCGGGCCACTGAGGAATTCGGACTGTTTGGCACGACGTCGGTTTGACAGAAGTCTTGGGCCGATCAGCATGTTCGCTCAGCACCCCAGCTCGGACCCCGGAACCCCTCACGATCGACGTCGCTCAAGACACCTTCCCCGCTCCGGTCTGCTCCCGGGAGCCGAGCCCTGTCAAGGAAACGTTGCGTGGTCCCGCACCGCCCAAGATAGCGGACAGTACGCCCCGCATCGCTGATGTCACGGCAACATTGAGATTGGGGAGAATGGAGATCGGTGGTTGGCACTTATGGTCGCTGGGCCACAAAAAAGGCATCCCGTCCGGCTCTTCTGTTAATGACGGAGGTTTGAGCCACTCCGACACCTGCGTGGTTGTGAGCGGCGGACTAATAGTAGTGTTATCGCAGCAAAATGCACTCTGGCTGGTTTAAACTCGGGACTGTGGCCTTGTTTGCCACGGGCACGGCCGGCGCCTCGGACAAATCCGCTCCCCTAGATCTCGCCAGGCTCTTCAACAACAAGGCTTTCGGCCAATCTCCTGGCGAGGCCGCGTTCGACGCTCTAAACCAGTCATATCAAGATCCGGGGTTCGGCAGCACGACATACGTCTCACAACAGACCGGGATAGAGTACTCGTTCCCCGGCTACACCGGCCCCGGGGCCAATGACAATGTTATCTGCGCAGGGCAGAAGATCGACGTGTCGGGAGACCTGCCCTCCTTCTCTGTCTCTTTTTTAGTCGCCGGGGACCTCGAGCTTGCCAGCGTGTCCAAGAACGTCACCTTTGCGTACTCGGACGGCAGCACGTCGCTGTACGAGCTGCGTACGCTTTCGTGGTTCAACCTCCTAACAATAAACCGGGGCGAGATCGTGTTCCCCAACCGCTTCACTGCCAAAGGCGTTAACCACAACACGTCTCACATCTTTGAGCGCACGGCGTCCCTTAGCCCAGGTAAACGCCTCACGTCCATCACGCTACCCTCAACAACCAACACCAGCGAGAGCAGGCTGCACGTGTTCGCGATATCGCTCTACAAGGGCTCCGCCTTGAGTGTGCAGAGTGTGCGGCCTACGCAAAAATGGTTCGGGAACGACACGCAAATCGTCGAAGTTACAGTCAACAATGCCGGTTCGGAGTGTATTGCCGGCAAGGGGCTGTCCATCACGCTTGAGGGAGGTAACTTCGTAACCACTCGCCCAGGTGCCATCAGGCGGCTCTGCCCGGGCGATCAAATCATGGCGACTGTGGGAATCGGCATGCTGTCGGGCACGACTGGGACAGCAAAGACAGAGGTAAAAGTGGTCATCGAAAATAGCCAAAACACGACTCTCTCGAGCACTTTCGGCGACATCGAGGTGGGGTTGATGGAGTGGACGGCCGACCTGTCGAGCTTGGAAAAGCACGAGGCGCCCGAGTGGTTCGACGACTCGAAATTCGGCATCTTCCTGCACTGGGGTCCATACGCCGTCACGGGCTGGGGCAACTCCTCGCCGTACGAGTCGTACGCCGAGTGGTTCTGGTGGTACTCGACGAACCACCCGCAGGGCGACAGGTCCAACTTTTACGGCTACCGGCGCGACACGTTCGGCGAGGACTGGGCCTACGATGACACCTTCGCCAAGTTCACGGCCGAGAATTTCGACCCCAAGGCCATGGTGGACCTCGTGGCCGACGCGGGCGCAAAGTACTTTGTGCTGACGAGCAAGCACCACGACGGCTTCGCCATCTTTGACACGGGCGAGACCAGCAACCGGTCCTCGATCCACCACGGGCCCCGGCGGGACCTGCTGGGCGAGCTCTTCAGCGCCGCGGCCGAGCACCACCCGGACATGAAGCGCGGCGCCTACTTCTCGCTCCCGGAATGGTTCAACCCGGACTTTGCGCGCTACGGCTTCGACCAGTTCGACAAGGCGCTCGTCCCCTCGACCGTCTCGTGGCCCGGCGGCCTGGCGCGGAACCCCTACACGGGCGCGCTAGAGCCGTACACGGGCCACGTGCCCGTGTCCGACTTCGTCGCCGACGTCATGGTGCCGCAGATGGACATACTCGCGCACGGCTACGGCATCGACATCATGTGGTGCGACTGCGGCGCGGCCAACGGCACGGCCGAGTTCGCGGCGCGCTGGTGGAACGCGGCGCGCGCCGCCAACCGGCAGGTCGCCATCAACAGCCGGTGCGGGCTCGCGCGCGCCGCCGACTTTGACACGCCCGAGTACCAGACCTTCTCGTCGGCCCAGCGCCGCAAGTGGGAGAGCAACCGGGGCATGGACCCGTACAGCTACGGCTACAACCGCGCCACCCGCGACGACGAGTACATGAACGCCACGGCCATCGTGCATACCCTCGTCGATATTATTAGTAAGAACGGTAACTTTCTGCTCAACATCGGCCCCCGCGCCGACGGGACCATCGTGCCGCGCGCCGCCGAGAACCTGCGCGAGGCGGGGTCGTGGATCAAGCGCCACGGCGAGGCCGTGTACAACACGACGTACTGGTTCGTGCAGAGCCAGATCGTGGCAGAGGGTGCGCCCGACGTGAGGTTCACGCACGGGAAGGACGCCTTTTACGTCTTCTTCCTTGAGCGGCCGCGGCCCGGCGCGGACGGGTTCGTACGCGTCCCGGCGGCGGTGCCGGCGCTTGCTGGGGACAGCATCAGCCTGCTCGGCGTCGAGGGCGGGGAGAAACTTGACTTTAAGGTCGAGGACGGCTGGAGCGGGAAATCGCTGAGCATCAAGGTTGCTGAAGATCTGCTTGCCAAGGAGGATCTCTGCTGGGTGTTTAAGATTGGGTATTTAGCTTGATTGCGATACCTTTTTTTCGCTGCAGTATTGCTTGCCACCGCTTTCTTCCTCTCTAATCCATCCAAGAGCCAGTATGCGTCGTATGACTTGCCACACAACGCCACAGAGGAGCGCGTTTGAGAGACACTGAAAAGAAGCCTTTGGCGATCCAAGATATGGCTTATCAATGTTTTCGAAGCAACGGAAACCTGAACTTTCTAATATGGGCTTGCAGATGGGATGCCCATCTCATGGTCTAAATTCCCATACTCCTTGCCCTCACACTTGACGCAAATTCCATGTTCGCCAAGGCGCACAGCCGTCTAACAACACAATGAAGCTATTCCTAATAATCGCTATTATCACCGCCACCACGATGACCGGCCAGCTGGAGTCACCAGCAATCACTAGGGCCACATCCCTGGCCACCCGTGATGTGCCCAGCAGGACGCCTGTCACCCACGAAGGCGGTCATGCCGAGCCCACCGCCAACAGGACCTTGGTCACCGTCATTACAAAGGTGACTCCGGCGGCCTCGGCCACCACGACCGTCGTGGCCGGGCCCACAAAGGCGTGGAGAAAGCCGACGCTGGGCGAGTGCTTCAACCACCAGAGGTTCTGCCGCTCCGACTGCGCCGTGATAAAGTGACCGGCCTTTTTCCTCCCGTGTGGTACGTTTTCCCGTCCTCATCTCCACCCCCTTCCCCGCCCTGCCAATCGTGACTAGAAAGCCGGCTGACAGGACTTGCTCATGCGGCAGGTGCCTGCCTCTACGAATGTCACAACAGGGGGACGAAGGGGCACATGTGACCTAGTGGCGAGGGCAACTCCCGGCCTCGTTACGCTTCTCCACAGAATGTCTCAGGACTGCGGGGCATGTCCTATCGTCGTTGTCGGGAGTGCATCGTCGTTACCGCCGTCGCCACCACCGAAACCCGCCGCCCGCCCACCGAGAAGCAGGAGGCGCATGTCTGTGATGGGAAGGAGGAAGGGGATTGCAAAACGCAGCAGCGCGATCAGCCCTATATCAAAGGTCCACCTAGTCGCAGGCCTCATCGACGTCAAACAAAAAGTCCGTGGCGCGTGATACTACCTACCAGACGTCCATCCCCACACGCTTTGGCGGCGCAGTATCACAACCGCTCCTTGTCCGCGTACAGGCGAGTCAAGAAGCTTGGTCGGGGACATCCCTGATACAATCTTCAGGGGGCTCCCCTGCTGTGCTTCACGCTCCCCCTGCAAACCCCAGTGCTACTGCTGCTCGACCCCAGCAGCTGGTCCCTTGCTTCCCTAGCTTGAGAGCCTTGCGTTATTTTCTTCATCTGGGGGGCAAGCTTCGGCATCGAAATGATTGCGGCGCCTCAAATGTCCATGGGTGACCCGTACCGAAACCTTGGGATGAACTTAAAATATCGACGCACGAAAAGGGTTGCATCACGCTGGCCGGAGATTGCACCCCAAAAGAAGAGCCTTGATAATGGCAGTATCGACGTGTGCGAGGGAGACGCTCGCAGTGTGGCAACGACCCATTGGTGGGAGATCTGGCGGCTCTCATCTGTTCCTGGATACCACCATTCCATCGAGTTGTCAGTCCAGCAGCCTGGGCCCAAGGATGTTACGGGAGGTAGCATTGGTGCCTGACTGGCCAAGATGGATTGCACAGCTCGCGTAGTGACTGTTCTCGGCCCGGGTGAATCTCTCAGGTACGAGCGGAAACCTCGCGCCGCTCCCCGGGGGCCCCTGTGGCGAGGCGATGAGAGCACGTCCCGAGGGAAAAAGGCTTGGGTTGTTGAAGCTCTGCCACGGCCGGGCTTGTCGCCACGAATAGAAAGATGCACAAGAGGGCCCGGAAAGGGGCCCTTGGCCTTCTTGGCTATTGATAATGACCCCCCCACGCGCATGGCGGCTCTGGCGGGTACCGAGGGAAGAGGGCGGTTTCAAAAGACATCAGATCCCCGGGGCGAAACGCAATGCGACTTACCAAGAGAAACGACACGGGAGGCAGCAGAAACGACCTCCTAGTTGCAGCTAAAAGTCCAGAGCTGTCACAAGCCGCGTGGGGAGGAGGCGCTTCGTTTGTGGGGAACGCGTGGCCGACGCCAGACTGGGCGAGTCTCAACGCATGATATTTCCCAATATACCTAGGTAGACACATTTTGTGCCTGGGGGCCGAGTCAGAACCTTGTCCCCTCGATTCGGCTCGATGGAGAAGGCTTCTGGAGCCGCACCCTGCACGCGTTTAACCCTCCGTGTGGGTTCGGCAAACCGTGACCTTAGCGGTACTTGGAAACCGCAGGGCATGGCCAGCGCGCGGCACCCAAGCCAGAAAAAAGGGGTAGGATCTGTTCGGATGGCCCAGCACCCACGCCACGGTCAAACGATCAAGCAGATCAAGCATCAAGTCCAGGAGAGGAAGCATTTTGGTTGAAACGTTTCTTCTCAGGCGTTTTTCGTTCTAGCTCGGGTGCCTGACCCCTATTGATAGCCTTGGACCCCTGTCGGCCGCCTCGCGCAAGTGAGGGCTGCTGATGCGCGCGAACGTTCGACGACGCCGCAGTGCGCCCACCTCGAGAACCCCTCACCAGGAGGTCCCGCGGGTAGAGTGGCCGACAGGGCAGAAACGCCGTGTCGGGAGGGCGCGATGCTGCGGTGGTAGTCTTGGCGATGTAGCCTCCTGCAATTTACTTAAACTTCGGGATGGCCTAGCCTCAACTTGACTTTTTGTCCCCTATCCTCATCCCTCAGGATACCTTCCTTCCTTCAGTCTATTTTCCTTCAGTATTTCTTTCTGTCTATTCCCTACTGTTTCGTCTTCTTCTTTTGCTTTTGGACCACCTCATCCGTCACTCCCGCCCTCCCACCATCCCTTGAGAACATCCCTCTTATAAAACACCATCATCACCATCAAAATGTCTGCCATCAAGACCTTCCTCGTCTCCTCCCTCGTCATCAGCGCCGGCCTGTGCGCGCCGGCTCCCCAGGACCACCACCTCGCCTCCCGGGCCATCGTGGCCCCCGCGGGCTTCACCAAGGTCCTCTTCCAGGAAGACTTCTCGACGGCAAAGGCGGGCGGGCAGCCCGACAAGGCCAAGTGGACGTACGACCTCGGCAAGAACTACCCGGGCGGCGCTGCCAACTGGGGCACGGGCGAGATCCAGACCTACACCGACGCCAAGGAGAACATCGCCTTCGTCGACGGCGCGCTGCGCATCACGCCCGTGCGCAAGGGCGAGGCCTGGACGTCGGCGCGCATCGAGACGACAAAGTCTCAGGACTTCACGTGCGCGCCCGGGAAGAAGCTCCGCATCGAGGCCGAGATCAAGCTCAGCTCCGCCGACCCGGCCACGCAGATGGGCATCTGGCCCGCCTTTTGGTCCATGGGCTCGGCCTTCCGCGACAACGTGACGTCGTGGCCGGCCATCGGCGAGATCGACGTGCTCGAGGTCGCAAACGGCCAGGCCCAGGTCTTCCACACGGCCCACTGCGGCGTCGTGAACGGGGGCCCCTGTGACGAGAAGAACGGCAAGGGCGGCGGCGCGGCCTTCCCGCGTGGCAGGTTCGTCAAGATGGCCGTCGATGTCGACCGCACCGCCAGTGACTGGAAGGCCGAGAAGCTCGTCTGGTCCGTCGACGGCAAGACCACCCTCACCATCACCGGCCAGCAGATCGGCGACCAGAAGGCGTGGGCTCCCCTGACCAGCACCCCCAAGATGATCCTGATCAACGTCGCCGTCGGCGGCGAGTTCCCCTTCGCAAAGGGCGGCAACAAGCCCACCCCTGACGCCAAGACCGTCGGCGGCGCCCCGAGCGCCATGGACATCAAGTACGTCGCCGTCTACACCAACTAAGCCACCCCTCGGCCCGCGGCGGTGACTTTTTTGTTTTTGCTTCCTCGCGGTCAGGGGCTTGCTGCGCTCGGCGACGAGCCATTCTTCGATTCTCTAATACCCTCTGTTTTGGACGCCTGGTGTGGCCTGGTGTTTTGTTAATTTGGATGTTCTCTTCTTTGTGTTTATACTCTTGTGATTTATGATTTTATCTTGTTTACTTTTTTTTGTATTACGTTATTTTGCGGAGGTGGTCTTTAGCATAGCATCTTGGCGCCGCATATATTTGATCTCGCGATTAAATACTTTGTATATTGCCAGCCCCTCGGCAAGTTGCTCCTGGCAGCTTGCTTTATATACTCCAAACATACGCGCATTGCGCTTTTGGATACTTCTGCGCAATTTTGGTGATAAGCTGCTCCTCAGAAGCTGCGTCGTGGTTCAGTCTCCCGCTAAAAAAAAAAACCTTGGCCCGCCTGTGCCGTGCAAGGCCCTGGTTCCCGCGGGACGTCCCGCACAGGCCAAATTAGCGGCTAGCTCTCGGATTTTGTGGTGTTTTTCTGCCAAGGCACGATCGCTATCCGTTATTGGTATTGACGCTCGATTAGTGCCGTCACTAGGCCGATATTTGCTGACGCAAAATGGCAACTTCAACTAGCCCCCAGCCAATGATTAGCCTCCCCGCCGCACTAATTTTCCCTGTGGTGGGCCCCAAAGCCTCCAAAATCTGACGCCGATATCTCGTGTAGGTTTTTGGGCCATCGAGGTCAACCTTTTCCTTGTGCTTTGGACGCGTAACATGAAAGCAAAGAGAGAATAATAGCCGCTGGGACTGGCAGATGGTCAGTCTACGGCTTTTGGTCCGGCTGAGACTGCTTCCTGGCATCAGATCAAATTTCCGTATGCTCAGTTCGACGCCATCGGGGATTCCTTGCGAGCTCTCCACCGGGCCAAGTCCTGATGTGAGATGTATGCCTTGGCTTGCAGAGCAGATCCTCCTCCCCAAGCGCTGGGCGGCCGCGGCAAGCTTGCCAAAATGGGCGTCTCCCCCCGATTCTTCCATCATTTTAAAGTCAAAGACGGCTCCCATGCCGCAGGCTTGAGGAGATGATCGCCCACTCCGGCCATTGTGCTCCTTCCTCCCACCATGGCCTTTGTGTGGCAGCGCGTCTCCCTGCGGCAAGGAGGGCCACTGAGGAAATAGCTATACTTGAAACCGCCATCCAGTGTGTCTAGAGGCCGACAACTCCAACACTCCGCCACAACTGGCGGCCGATGACGGCCTGCAGGTCGCGCACCCGATGCCGGCAGAACACGAGAAGACGCCCACGACCGGCTACCACCAGAGCCCCGTGTTCCACTACGCCCAGACGCCCACCAACATGAGCGCATATGCTGCCACCCAGGCCGGCACCGTGTCCCCGCCGCCGCCGGTCAACGGCTACCCAGCGTTCCACGCATATGAGAGGTCGCCGGACGAGCAGAGGCGGAAATCAGCGCCGTGGGAACTGAACCCTTGGCTGTTTGCCGCCATCGCCGCCTTGATCGGCATGTTGATAAGTGGCGCTATCGTTGGCGGCGTGATGGGATCCATGCTGACCAACAGCGACCGGAGGTAAGAAAAGTGGCAAGGGGGCGGCTAGACAATGCCTCTGCTAGCCAGCGCAACAAAACACAAAACCGCTAACCACGGCATCCGCGCACCAGCCGCGACCTTGCCTCAGCACCTGGCTCGCCGGAATCAGCCTCAACGACACCAGTCGTCCAGCCACCGCCGCCAGCCTCAACCGGCACTAGCTCCGGGCCCACAACCCTCTCGTCACCCTCAGCGTCCCTAGACAGCTACAGCGTGTCGCCGCCGCGCGGCGTCGAGCGGCTCGCCTGGTACTGCCCGCGGCTGGACAAGGCGATGGTGACGGCCTTTGGCGACGCGCGCTTCTCGTTCGAGTGCGGGCGCGACTCGCAGGGGCCCGGGCGCGAGGCCGCGGGCGCCATGTGCGTCATCGTCGCGCACTGGGCCTACTCGCTCGACGACCGCCTCGACTCGTGCGCGAGCTTGAACAGGCGGTCCAGCAGCGGCGGCGCGCGCGGGGACCTGCGCTGCCGCCGCCTCGTGGTCTTCCAGAACCGCATGAAGGCCACCGTCGGCAACGGCGGCAACTGCTTCCTCAAGAACGCGACCAGGGCCGCGGGGAACAATGGCAATCCTAACCAGTTTGCCGTCACGGCGAGCTTGGTCACGTCGTAGGGGCTGTGTAGATTAATAGGTATTCTTTTTAATCATGCCTTCATATCTGCTTGCTCGCTAGTCTGGTCCTCGTCGACCGGGCGGCACTACCCTCTCATTGTCGTCTTCTAGGGTATCAAAATCGCCATCCTGCACCATGACTACAAAGAGGCCTTAGGCGTACTGCGGGCAGCATCACGTTAGTACCATATCGGCCCGGTGCTGCAGTCTCCAAGCCACCCACCTTGCTCTTGTCGGGGTCGTTGGGCTGGCAGTTGTGGCCAACCCTGGTGCCGGTCCACATCCTGCAGTGCGCGCACTGGATCAGGTCGCCCGTGGAGCCGCCGTTGCCCGATACGTTGCTGCCGCCGCTGGCGGTGCTTGAGCCCGACGTCGACGACTGCTTGCCGGCGCTCGAGCCGGAGGCTGACTTGGAGGTCTCGGACATGATTGCTCTTGTTCTGGGGGGTGCTTGCGGGTTGATGTCTTGTAGTGCATATCGAGAAAGTTGCCCGACATCGTGGCCATCTCCGGAGTTTATAAGGGAAATGGCCGAGATACAATCACTTCGCAACACCTGCATTGCGGGATAGTGAGGTACAACGGCATGCGCAAACTTGCCTGCTCACCGTCGAGATAGTTACACTAGGCAGGTGTTACAGACGGAGTACCCGTGAGCGCGCGCTCGATGGTGACAGTGGCACACCCAGGTGCGTGGCCATCGGACTGGCATAGCAGTGGACAAAAGGGTCATGTTTTGCTTCAACTAAAGGCCAAGTCATCCCAACCAACAGCACTAGCCGATAAATATGCCTAATTCGATCCTTCACTGGCCCTCTCGCTCGGCCCCAATAGCCCCTGCCATCCGAAGCCCACCCACTCACGCAGAAGGGATAACGACCAGCTTGACCTCCATACACGGCCTCGCAGGGGTCCAGGCTGTTTGTGCGACAGGAAACGACCCCAGCCGGGTCAGTTCAACGTTTCAGCAGACGAGCGGCGGGTGGGAAGAGAGGAGAAGCTTACCCGGGTTCCCGGGAGGGGAGTAGCGGAACTCGTGCCGATCGCCAGACGCCGTCCGGACGCAGATGTGGCCGCCGGGGAGGGACCCGCGCGCCCTAAACGCCAGCTCGGTCTGGAGCTCGTCCGTGTCCGGGTTGCAGCTGTAGACGACGTCGTACACGGCCCGCGGGTCGCCGCGCTCCGTCATGAACATCTTGGTCGTGTTGTCGGCCAGCTCGTACTTTTTTTTTTTTTCGCGTTCGCAAAAACGTGTTAGTAGCAAGGGCGGGCAGCCAAAGCCTCCTCGTGGCCAAGGTCGGAGCGTGGAACTCTGCTGACCTCTCCGTTGATCACGGCGCGGATGGTAGGAACGACGGTGGCCTTGGTCAGCACGCCGTTGACGAGCGTCAGGTCGTCGGCCGCGTCGCCTGCCGGGGCGAGGTACAGGTGCTGGTCACCGCCGCCCGCGGACCAGAGGTTCATGCGCCGGTTGTGCACCTCGGGGTAGGCCGGGCTCTGTACCTGGACCGCGAACCCCTGGGTGATGTTGTTGGGGAGCGGCACGGTGGGGATAGTGCAGGCGGCGGCCGTGGAGGCTGCCGCCGCAGTCAGGAGAGCCGAGATAGTCAGGCGAACCATGGTGAGGGTGGCACGGTCAGGGAGGCAAGCTCTCGATATATGCATATATCCCGAGTTGGCGGATGCTAGACACCACTAAACGAGCAACGATTCCGTGAGGAATAGGTAAACTATATACCAAGACCCTCCCAGTCAGCAATCACAATAACAGCCACCCAGCTATCTCGCCGGGCATTCGTGACGGACCCGCCAAGCCGACAATACGACTCAGCCCTAGGAGCCTGCCATAATATCGACACTGCAGGACACGGCCCGTAGTCCACTCCCCCGCATCAAACGCCGCCAATCAGGGGGGTCGGACGGCTGCCGTTGTACGATCACTGCTAATGCCAAGACAATCCCGCCCAGCCATGTCGCAACGGGCCGACTACGGCGGAGACGAAATCACAGAGGTTTGGTCGCAGTGCAGCATGCAGTGCTTTGGCGAGGGCCGGGCGGCCTGGCATACGCCCCTATTTTGAGAGTTTAGCCTTCGCCAGGCAAGTCACGGGGATGGCGGCTGCCTTCAGCTGAATCGCTTAAGCAGCAGGCAGGTAGAGGCATTTATTTACGCCACCAGTCATAAACGGCCTCAGTTTTTACTCATTGTTGATGGACGTTGTTGGTAAGCATCACGAGCAAATAGGCCCAACAGGTATGTAGGAGATAAGAGCTTCTTGCAGCGGTGGTACAATACATAAATTGAGAGATAAAGTATCAAAACACAAAAGGGTTGCCTGATACGAGGACTCAGGCTGTTTGCGTGAGAGGCGTCGACAGGGTGGACGTAAGTCCTTGGGAACAAGAGGAAAAATCATCCGTAGTCCCCGACAAGGCATCCATTTTGTGCGGAAGCCTTCGCCTTCTCAGCCTGGCCCTGTAGCCTGTCTTCCACCTACGCGGTTACAGTTCCCTATCCACCACACGAACCCCTATTAGCAGGCAGCCTACTCGTACACAAGGGGCGGGGGCGTTTGCGAGCGAAGGAGGCCATCCGGGTTGCGGTCGATGGACCTCGCCCTTGAGTAAGAGTGCCGGTCGCCGCCGGAGCCGCTGTACTCCTCCGCCTGTTCAGTGTGGGATCCGGGTTCGCTTACTTGGTTGAAGACGCTGTTGAGCCTAGGCATGGACCGCTTGCGGGCGTTGCCCAGCCTGTCGCGCACCGAGAGGTGCTGGCCGGAGCGGCCGCCGCCGCTCGTGCCGCCGACGGCCGACTCGCTTTTGCCGCCCACGATCTTGTCCTTGACGGCGCCGAGCACGATCGGGGCGAGGACCTTGCCGGCCTGGAGCGCGAGGGGCCCGATGGTCTGGGCGGCCGTCTTGAAGAAGTCCCAGACGCCCTCCTCGTGCAGGCCGTGCTCTTCGGCGACCTGGGGGTCGAGCTTGAGCTTCTGCAGGTCCGACTTGCTGAGCGACGACAGCGCCTGCAGCGAGGCGTCGGCGACGAAGGCCCGGTTGAGCAGGATCTTGACGGCGCCCTTGTTGAGCATGTCGCCGTCGTCGACCGTGGACTCGGCGCCCCCGATCTTGCCGACGATGGCGGAGATGACCTTGGGCCCGTACTTCTCGATGGCCGACTTGGCCACCTGCGTGGCGATGGGCTTCGCGATCTGGATGCCCTTGGAGATGAGGGAGCCGAGGCCGTCAATGAAGCCCTCCTCGCCCGCGACGGGAATGGTGGGGGTGATGAGGCACTCGTAGAGAGCCTTGCCCTTGAAGTCGCTCATCCCGGATTCAGTGCTGGAAACCTTGAGGGGCCGTCTGTCCTCCACGGCCTCGGTCGGGGGGTGGGTGATGACGTTGTTCTGGTTCATGGCCCGCACGGTCATCTGGGCCACGTGCTTGGTGAGGATGGGACTGAGGCTATCCGCCAGCTTGTCGACGTCTGGAACGCTATCCTGGCAGGTCTGCTTGATGTGGTCAATGATGTAATCCGCCTGGGGGCTTCCCTGGAGGGCCATGACGGTCTGGAGGGCGGCTTCGGCAAGGACGGCGCGATCCGGAGCCGCATTGCTGGCCGGCCCGCTGAGGGAGTCGTCCTCCATGCTCTCGGCACCACCGGTCAGTGATCCGAGAATACTGCCGGCCAGGCTGCCAATGGCGCCTCCAACCGGGCCTCCAAGCATGGAGCCAGCGATCGGTAGCACAGACGACGCCACGCCGGCAATGCTCCCGATGATGTCGAAGATGGATTCGGTGCCATCGCCGCCCGACAGATAACTCTCTCCGTTGTGGTTCCCGTTGCTGCCATTGCCGCCGTTTCCATTGGGCGCCGCTGTTTTGAGTGGCACCAGGACAAACTTGCCTTTGCTGGCCGCGATTTGCCTGGAGAACACATCGATGAAGGAGTTGTAGTTGTTGCCGTACTTCCCTCCGATGGCGTTACCCGAGTTGCCGTCTGGGCCGCCGCCGCCATAGCAGTGAGTGCCGATGACCAGCCCGTCCTCGCGGCTGATGATGGGCGCGCCCGACTGGCCTGGAAGGTGGAAGTCAAGTGTTAGCTGGTGTTTGTTTAAGAGCTTCGGCCTTGGCCAGGCCAGTGCCCAGTAGGCAATTAGGTACTCACCACCAAAGGTGGAAATCTGATACTCGATCATGTGGTTCTTGTTGGTCGCGATGTTGTAGTCGGTGGGCAAGAACTGCTCGTACATCTCGGCGCCGCCCTCGCTGCCGAGGCTCTTGTCGCCGGGATATCCCACGACGCCGAGAATCACTTCGTTGCCGGAGACAGGCGTCGTGTTGACGTACTTGAACAGGTTCAGGTTTCCAATGAAGGGTTTGTCCAGCTGAATGAAGGCGACATCCTTGGTGCGGGTTCGCTCATCGTTGTTCGTGACCCACTGGGCGGTGGTGACGACCTTGGCTCCAACCCGGCACTGCACGGGCGAGGGGACCTTGGAGTTGTCATCCGAGCTCGTGGGGATGGAGGCGCGGCCATGGTAGCCGATGTAGCACCTGACCTCATCCGTCTGGCCGAGATTCTGGCTCCAGTCGTAGATGACGTGGCCAGCAGTGATGACGAGGTTGGGCTCGATCAGCCAGCCGGAGGCCATCATCCAGACTTTGCCGAAACGGGCCTGAATCTTGACAACCGCTGGCGAGTTTTGTGGGTTAGTACGCGGGCGTGGTCAAACGTGCAGAGCTATACCCTGTGAGTAGGCACTTACACCGGAACGGGCCGCCGTCCTGGTAGTCCTGATGGTAGACTTTCATTCGGCCATCGACACCGATGATTGACTCGGTGCTAGGCCCGTTGCCATGCTCAGCAGAGTAGTTGCTGTGGCGGGGGACGAGCATGCTCTCCGCGGCGGCGGCCGTGGAGAGTGACCAGAATGCAGCCTGATCTTGAGCCATCTTGCCGAGAGTCTGGACGGGAGATGAAGAGATAAGTGAGCAAAGGGAGTGGTGAGGAGGGTTTGGTGTGAAAAGAGTCAAGTAGAGCAGACGGCCAACGGAAGAAGGTTGTGAGGTTGTCGGTGAGGGTGGAAGGAGTATTCTCGTCCCAAACCAAGAGGGAATGTCCCGATTATATAGACAGCTTTCGGCCACGATATGCTTCGAGCTCACCGTGTCCGTCTAGACTCTCGACAAGAGTACATAGCATGTTGAACCCCTCGCTAGACGCGCCAGACCGGAGCTAGCCACTTTCCTACCGGCTTCTGTGAAACTATTTCCATCTGTCCCACATACCCAGGGAGCAGGACTCAGCCAATCCGCATTCTTGTTAGTTTTCGTGCCGCTATTCCCATTTCACGAGTTCAGCCGGATGTCGGGTGCCTTGGGGGTCATGGCTAGAACATGCAGTCTTTTTTCTTTTCTTTTTTTTTTGATGCTATGCCCTGCTTTCTACCTGCAGGAATCCCAGTAAAAGGGCATGTCACCCGATGTGATTGCCTAGAGGAGTGATGTCAAGGTGTCGACTACCCGGATCTGTTCCTTGGTTTCCGATAGGCCTGTTCAGCTGAGCGAATCCAGGGAGTCGTTGTGCCTGCGTCAGGCCTGGTTATTCTTTCCCATATTCGCCACTTCCCATCCTCCGCAGTACAATTTGGGATAGGCTTGACCTGCCACATCCCCAACGATCCCTGCGTGGGCGGGATGTGACTGGGAGTCTAGGTTGGTCGGGCTGGCGAAAATCATTAGGCTCAGCTCTGCATGTCGACAGCTGAAATTTGGCCTTGGCATGCATGTTCGCATCAAATCGAGCGCCTCGGGCCGTGGGTAGTCGGTTTAAGACTAGCCTGTGCGGTTGCGAGCCGGTTTGCGGGACCGGCTCCCCGGTCCAGCCAATCGCAGGAGCCATCCTAACCACGTCTCCCCCCTGCCGCTGCACTAAGACCTCGACGCCGCGCTGTTGCGAGTTCGGCGTATAGGTCGACCAGCTTGACGTGCCGCTCTCGCGAATATCAACGCAGACCTGAGCTAATCAAAAACAAGGAAGCCGGAGGAGACTCGCCGCTAGTTCTTATTATTGACGGTAATATTGAATGGGAGCCCCGGCTCGACCTCCTGGGGCACGCGGGTCGTCCTGGGCAGCTGCAACCCGAAGCGAGAGGCCAGTGCGTAGGACCAGTCGCCACAGCCTCCGCGGAGGAAGCAGCGGCTGCAGCAGCAGAGAGAGATCAGGAGGACGGTGCCGAAGACCGAGGCGAGGATCGTAACAGCCACGAAGCTCTGGCGATCCTGCTCCCTGCCACTCGCGTCACCGGCTGGAAGCGCGGTTGCCGAGGCAGAGGGTGATGATGTTACCGTAGTCGTTGCCGTCACTGGGGTCTCAGCTGTCGATGGTGGCGGCTGTGAGACTGATGTGGAAATGAAGGTCACCAGGGATGTCATTGTGATGGGCGGGTGAGAGGTGGGTGACTCGGTGGGGCTCGTGGAAGATGATGTAGAGGCTGTCGGGGACACTTCAGAGCTCGTAGAGGACGCTGTAGAGCTTGTAGACGACGAAGAAGTGGTGGAGGACGAGGAAAAGGTAGTGGACGACACAGTGGAGCTACTCGAAGACTCTGCAGTGCTGGTACTGGCTGATGCTATTGTAGAACTAGTGACAGGGGCAGAGCTATGATTGGAAGGGTTGCGGAACTCCTCGATATCGTCAAACTCGATAAACCTGGCCTCTACACCAGTCGAGTTGCGGCAGCTCGTCGGGACTTCGGCGCGGGGCATGTTCTCCCTGAAATAAACCATGGCGCATTGATACTGGTAGCTGCCCCCCTTCGAAAGCTGGTAGACGGAAAAGGTGGCCTGGGCATCGTCGGGAAAGGGGCCCAGCAGCTTGCTCGCGTCGGGAAGCCACGGGATGCACAGGGAGCCGGCGCCCGTCTGCCATATGTACTTGAGCGTCGCCGGGTCCTGGCCGTCGTCGCCGGCGCGGTAGGCGCGCAGGGCCCAGACGCACTCGTTCAGGTCGGTGGTCACGGAGAAGGGGGACCCCGCGCGCGGGTAGTCGGAGAAGGCCCCGAGGAGCTTGCCGCCCCCGCATGGCGGGTAGGCGCCGCTCTCCTGGCTGAGGCTCCCGTCCGTTTTCTGGATGTATGCCGGCTCGGGGAGGCTGAGGCGAAACGCGGCGGCCGTGCCGAGGAGGAAGCAAGTGGGGAGAATCTTCATGGTGATGCGACGAACTTGGTGTTTTGGGGTCGACGTCGCGGCCTGGGTGAGGAAGAAGGAAAAGGAAATGGGCACCGCGTTGACGAGGTCGCACAAAAAATATGTACCTGGCCATTTGGTAAGGTGTCTGCAGACCCGGTCACTCGAGGTCGATTGTGTAGTATGATTCGGGCACTGCAACCGCGAGAGAGGGCTCAAAAAGGGGAAGGCTAACCAGGCCTGCAGTGAGTTACACATCAGGAGGCAGTCTGATCAGTTGGGATCAGGGAAATAAACGACTGTTCGATACTGACTAGCTATCCCCAATGCCAATCAGCCTCAGTTACGTGAGTAGATGCCAACAAGGTGTTGCTTTGTGAGTTATGTGATGGCTTACTTGAGAATCCAGCATTTAAAACCACACCAGTCCCACCCAGCATGGAGCAAAGAAGGAGGCACACAGGCAATCAACTACCAAGAGCGGTGGCTACAACATAGAACGACCCCTGCTACACCAATCTTTGGCCACCCATCATCACCGTTTGCTCTCCGGATCATCAGCTTTGGCGCAAACCGACAAAGAAGGCTCCCCACCAAAGGCAATTACCGTGTACTTGCTCGCCAACGCACCAATGTTCAAGGCCGGAGACCTGGTGATGGCGACTGTAAATGAGGGCGATATCACGGGGGACCACTTCATCAAAGACAAACACGAAATCAGAGGGAAGATCGCCGTCGATGAGGCTCCCGACAGTGGTGTCGAGGAGGGATATGTGCAAATGACCATCAGCCAGATGCGGCCGATACCACCAGCCGGCCACGGCGGGTATGATTGGGCGAGCGCGAAGGGCCTGATAACTGTCCGTAGAAGTTGCGTGACTCGTTGGTAGAGTTTGGAGCTGCAACCGCGAGGAGAGGTTCAAAAGGGGGGGAGGTAACCAGATCTACAGCGAGTTGTGACATGTCAGGAGGCAGTCTGACCAGTTGGAGCCACGGAAATAAAGATTACACCAGACACTGATTAGCTATCCTTGATCCAACCAGTCTCAATCACACGCGGATAGGTGCAGCAAGGTCTGGCCTTGTGAATGACGGTATCTGGTAGCTTGCTCGAAAGTCTAGCACATAAAGCCACACCATTCCCATTAGGCATGGGGCAAGAAAGGCACCTACACAGGCAGTCGATCTTTGCCAATCTTTGGTCGGCCATCATCGCCATTTGCTTTCTACATCATCGGCTTTTGACGCGAACCCACAAGCAGGCTCTCCACGTGTACCCACTCGCCAATCCAGCAATGTCGGAACCAACGCTCTTCAGGGTTGGGAACGAAGTGTTGGTGACTGTAAGCGAGAGCGAGCATCCCACGGGTGACTTCCATGAAAACTACCAGATCCAAGGGAAGATAGCCGTCGACGACGAGAAACATGTGCGGCTCACCGTTATCAAGATGCGGCCGATGGAACGAGGCCGCATCCAGTATAATTGGATGGAAGCCAAGGGCCAGATAACGGTCCGCAAACATTGCGTGGGTCCCGTGGTTCCGGAGTAGAGGTTGGAGCCGCAAGCGCCAGACAAGGACCGCTCCGTCGAACTGGCACGGATGTTGGTGAGTGGGGTCTTGGGGGTTTCCATGCACGAATGGGGGAGTGGACATATGGCGGGCATTTGTGATGTATTTGGGGGCGGATGCATAGTTCAACATCGTGTCACGAGACGGCACCACAAGGAGAGCTTGATGGAACGAGAAAATAAGCAGAGTGCTACTCTGAGAAGCAGTCGATACTCCTTGTGAGATGCATCGTAAACTGCAGCCAGCCTAGGTAGTGACTCGCGAGGCGGCTAAGAATGGGGATAAAACGCTAGGAACAGCTTGAACAAGGGCTGTGGCAAAACAAGACAGATAGGAGATTCGTAAAACACGGGCGCTTGCTGCGCCCTGAGACTCTCGAGCGTGGCGACGGTGCCATCGAGCCGTTTAGGCCATGTGGGGCTGGTGCACAAAGTCCATCTTGTTGTGCTCGTCCACAGGCGGGTTGCGCTTCTCGTGGCGGTAGACGACGATGGCGTAGATGAGCATGCCGATGAAGGTGAGGCTGGAAGCAGGGGGTGGTCAGCACGTCGTTTGCGGATGCAGGGCGCCACAAGACAGGCAAGGAAGAGGTACTCACTAGATCATCACGGCAATGACAATGGGGGCGACGGCCCGGGTGCCCACCATGGACAGGGCGAAGAGCACGGTCCAGATGATGGTCTGGATCCAGTTGGTGACCAGGAAGAACCTGGGGGTGAGGGAGTGGCGGATGCGCTTGACCAGGCAGACCAGGTCGAGGATCAGGCACAGCAGGATGATGGCCATGTTGACGGAGGCGATGGCGATGACGGCGACGGCGGTGATGCCGCTCTTGCGGAGGTTCTGCCAGCTGGCGCCGAGCTCGTCGTGCTTGTTCGTGCGGTCGGCGTAGGCAAAGGTGAAGATGATTAGGGCCAATAGGGCGATGTTGATGGTCATGACGAGGTCGCGGATCAGCCACAGCGGCACGAGGACCAGCTTGCGGAAGGGGGAGGTGTCCTGGCGGGGAGCCATTATAGCGGTTGGTACGAAAACAAGTAAGAAAAACAGTAGGAAAATAAAGTGAACAAAAGGAAATACTCTTGCGTGGGAGGGCGAGAGCTGGAGTGGATGGGATCAGTGGGATGATGGGAGTGGGAAAGACGAGATTTGGAGAGCAGGAAGCGGTCGTATTATACGGTAATCACAGAATGCCCGTCAGTGTGTGGAGTGGTCTATGCCGTTGATGCCATTCATGGAAACGGCCAAGGCAAACGGGGTCGATTCTAGAAATAGCAGCCGTGCAGGCCAAGGTTGCCGCACGCGCATTGACAGGCCACAGCAGGAGGCGAAGGTTTACGACGGGTGCAACGGCAGACAGCGTTGGCTGACAGGGCCCTAATCAAGGATAGCCTCCACAGCCCCAGCCAGCTTGCGATCAGCCCTGCGGCCTGAGTCGCTGGCCAAAGTACCACCTCTGGGCATTGCTTGCCGTTTGCAAGAAGGCGTCGGGATGGACGTGGGTCAATCCTGACGCATAAAGGAGCCAACTGCGGCAAACGTCAACAAGTGCCTTTCGTAAACGGATGGTCGATGGTTGGATATGATTTGACTGCTTGGCGTTTCCAAAATATAACGGCGCAGGGTGTTGGCGTGACTGGCGTGACTGGCAATTTGGATTCGAACGAAACACTTGAAGCAATAGCGGCTAGATCCAGAACCCAGATGTCATCTCTGGTTGCAGGCGGGGGCCGAGCGGCCGGTGCAACTTGACGTGGGGGGTAGTGGAGGTGCATCGGACATGGCTACCTGGTTGGTATGGATGGCATGATGCTACCCAGTATCGAGCCAAACTGCAAAAGAAATAAGAAGCTGCAAGGGACTGTCTTCTCGTTGGTCGGTCAAGTACGACATATCGAGAGGCTGCGGCTCGTAAAGCACCAACAACTTGGATGGACCCTGATCAAGCCCTACGAGATTGATCGTGATGTGCCATCATGCGGCACAGCCTCAATTGAAGCACTCAATTGATGGCCCTGGCGGGGCAGCTAGGCAGTCGGTCACCTGATTGGCCCACCACGCGAGCAGCTGAAAAAAATGTCCTAGCGCTGTCATGTCTGTGGTCCCATCATAGATTGAGATTTGCCATGACGCCAACAACCGCCATCATCTCAATGCCATGAAGCCTGCCGACGAGGAGCGGTTTGCGGCGCTGGTGCAGTGGAACAGGGCACAGGGCGGCTTTTTACACCCGCAGGTCGAGGTTTACAGCGACCAACGCACGGGCTTCTCGCTGCGCGCCAGAGAGGAGGCCGCATCGACTCCGTGCTGCGCCCCGCGCTCCGCCTTGGATCAGAACCGCGACCAAAAAAAAGACCAAAAACAAGACCCCACGATCAGCATCAGCCCGCCCGTTGCCACCCCCGGAAACAGCACCCCTGTTCCCGAGCCGTCGCCACCGCCACAGCCCGTCCCACATGGGGATGCCATTGTCGTCTGCCCGCTATCCACCACCCTGTCGTTCCTCAATGCCGTCGTCGGCGGCAACCCGCTGGGGCAGCCCGGCGCCAGCCCGGAACCAGGCAGTGACGACGCTGCTTTCCCTGAGGCCTTTGTGCGCGCCACCCCGCCGCACGTGGTCGGCCGCTGCTTTCTGATCCAGCAGTACCTGCTTGGTAGGGCCTCGCACTGGCACCCCTATATCGCCACGCTGCCGCAGCCCGAGCACCTTGCCTCGTGGGCCCTGCCCGCCTTTTGGCCCGACGACGACGCTGCCTTCCTGGCCGGCACCAACGCCGCTGTCGCCGCCGCCGAGATGCGCGCCAACGCTGCCTCGGAGGCCCGCCAGGCCCGCCGCGCCCTCGCCGCCGCCGGCTACGCAAGCCACGCCGAGTACACGTCCCTGCGGTACCGCTGGGCCTACTGTATTTTCACGTCCCGCAGCTTCCGCCCGAGCCTGGTCGTGCCCGCCACCCTCTGGGAGGCTGGGCTGAAGGACCGGGCCGGGTGCGAGATGGACGACTTTTCGGTGCTAATGCCTCTGTTCGACGTCGGGAACCACGATCCGCTGGCCGAGGTAGCATGGGACGCCAACTCGGTGCCGGGCCAGTGCCGTCTCGTGGTATCGGGCGACGGCGCATTCGAGCCGGGCCGGCAGTTGTTCAACAACTACGGCCCCAAGACTAACAGCGAGCTTCTGGTGGCGTATAACTTTGTGTTACCCGCCACAGAGGCGGTGCACAACGACTACGTGCACCTGCGGCTCAGATCGGGCGCCGCCCCGCCAGGACAGACGGTCAGGGGTGACAGCGATGGTGGAGAGTGCGACAACGACAACGCCAAGCAGACCCCACGCGACTTTCTCATCTCTCTTAGGCCCATGGCGCATCCGAGCTCCGTCGTTGGCCGGAAACGGCAATTCGCCCACAACGGGCCTGGTCCCCGTCCCGTCGTCGGCTCGGCCTTTTCTCATGTCGAGGACGCGCTGCTGTGGGAGCTGTGCGCGCCCCACCTTCGCAACAGCCCACAGGTCGCCGCGGGGGAGAGCAGCCCAGCAGGCACCCTGGCCGCCGTTTTCGCCGAGCCCGCCCCGCCCGAGCTCGAGGCACTGGTGTCGGGCGCGCGCGAGCTGCTCATCGGCAAGCTGGGCGCCGACTACGAGCGCCTGCTGGGCGAGGAGCCCGACGAGGCCACGGCCGTCCGCGAGGCGCTGGCCGAGGCCGGCGGGCAGGCCACAGTCGCGGCCCCGCTGACGGGGAACCAGGCGCTCGCGCTCGCGTACCGACTGCAGTGCGAGCAGGTGCTGAAGAGCGCCCTGACGTCGCTGGACCCGACCATTCGGTTTGAGGCCATGGACGAGGAGCAGGAGGGTGATTAATATAGAGAGAGACCAGGTAGGAAAACTCTTCTGTTGTCCGTTTGCTCTTGACTCCCTGTTGTTTGTCGTCCGTTTGTCCTGCCTTGGCGGGTGCCGAGCCAGCACCAGCTTCGGCCAGGTGCAGGTTGCTGTTTGCATGTTTGCCTGTTTGCCTGTTTGCCGCGCGTATCCCTAGCATTCCATCGCGTAGGCGCACACGGGGAAACCAAACAAAGGGAGGCATGCAAACAGCCTTCCATCCCTTCTTTGTCCTATCAGTCGGAAGAAGGCCACCCTACTTAAGTTGACCTTGCCATCCCCAGATTAAGGCAAGCTCCATCATCATCCGATTTGGTGCAGAGGTTAGCATGTCAGGTTTTCAGCTATATCTTGGATTCCTGAGGACACGGGTTCGAATCCCGTAGTCGGAAATCTTTTTGCTTTTTTTTATTGTTTAACCTTTGCCGTAAATTGCATATGTGCCTACTACCTATGTGGTCTTACTACCATCACTCAGCACACGTCAAATTCACAGGCGCAGGAGAGTGTTGGACAGTTCACTGATTTGAAGTGCAATGCAAATCGAATAGATATATACCCTGTTAATATTTACAGTTGAAAGAGAGAAATATCAACGCTGGCGAGCAATGGAATGCTACGGCAACATTTTCTGCCCCATTCACCCTTGCCACCCAGATCTCGAACGGCCACCGACTCCGACCTCATGGCCCAAACCCATACCACCCACCCCTTCACGCCCCCAGTCGACTTAGATGTATGTCTTGAGCAGCGAGTTGTAGTACTGGTAGCCCGTCCCGCTGGGCGGCTCCAGGTTGTACATGTAGGTGCCCCACCAGGGCCCGGCGGCCCACCAGAGGGCGCCCATCCACACGTCCGAGTTGGCCTTCATGTGGTCGAGCATGCCCTTGACGGCGGTGCGGCAGTTGTCGTTGGCGCCGCCGGCGTACTCGCCGATGACGCCCACCTTCTTGTTGGCGCGCAGCCAGGCCGTGGCGCCCTCGAGGCGCTGGGCGCCGATCTGGCCGCTGACGCAGGCCTCGGACGTGCCCGACGAGTCCGAGTCGAGATACTGGTGCATCTCGTAGACGATCTTGTTGTTGGGGTCCGTGAGCGCCTTCATGTTGTCGTTTGTCGCCACCCAGCTGTGCGCGCCCGACCACTGGTTGCCCTCGATGAAGATGTACTGCGACGTGGCGCCCGACGCCCGGATGCCGTTGATGGCGGCCTGGTTGAGCTGCAGCACCAGGTCCTGGGACATTGTGTTGTATCTATTTTTGTTGGTGGGTGTTAGCGGTTGGGAGAATGAATGGGAGCAGTTCAGTGGCTGTCGCTCACTCGTTATTCGTGTCAAAGATGACCTTGGAGTTGCTCTTGAACTGCCCCGCCAGGTTGACCCAGAAGGTACGAAAGGCCGAGGTGTCGGTGATGCTGTGGTTTAGCCAAGTCAGTCTATAGCCTTCTATACTAGCCCGTCCCAGGCGTCCAGCCGTCATCTTACATGTTTCCGTAGTAGCGGCCGTAGTTGTGCGGGTCCAGCACGGCGTAAGAGCCCTTGGACGTGACGTGGTTGACGACGGCCGTCAGGTTGCGGAGGTAGGCAGGGTGGAAGGCGTTGGTCATCTTGGTCTCGACCAGGCGCTCCATGGAGAAGCAGATGCGGAACGTGTTGTATCCTTGGCTGATGAGGCTCTAGAGGCGAAGAAAACCAGAAATGGGTCAGTAGCCGCCGAGTCCTCCACACACCTCTTGCGCCTATACCCTAATACTCACATCGATGGTCGACGTGTCCGGGAAGATGTACTCGGTGCCCCAGCGGCCCGGGAATATCTTGTCGCCAAACTCGGCGCCGGCCTGGTTGGTGCCGAAGAAGGTGAACTTGCCGTTGCCGCCGCCGGGGTTGCCCGGGTTGGGCGTGCCCGGGTCGCCGCCGCCCGGGTTGCCGGGGTTCGACGAGCCGGGCTGGCACTGGTGGTACCACTCGTTGACGACGACACACGTGTAGCCCGAGACGCACGTCTTGGCCCCGCTGTAGCCGGTGCCGCCGCACTGCTGCCACGCCGCCTGCTGGGCGGCCACGGCGCCGGCGAGGGCGCCGAGTAGGAGGGAGGACCTCATCGTGGGGGTGTGGTTGGGCCCGGGTGGAGTGATGAGAGGAAGATGTTGAGGGTCTTGTCTGTCGGCTGGGATGGTTCCGCTCGCTGCCCGCTGGCAGGTTGGGGTGTGGGTGGTGAAAGGAAGAGCGAGGTCATGGCCTGGCCGGCGACCCCCTCGAGCCTTTAATAGCAGGTGCCAACCTGCTCTTCCCCCCCAAGGCGGGGAGTGGAAGCCGGCCCGCGCGGTCGCGCCCTGTTCACGCGGCCCTGGCAGCCGCATGATGCAATGGGACGACGGGAGACATGCCGGTGCGGTCACTTCTCCTCGCATTTCCGTGCGACGCGCTAAAATGGGACATGTGGTGCACACAAGGAGGGTAGGCGCCCGTGAATCGACCTCAGCGTGGGTTGTCCCTGCTAGCGGCGCGGGGGGAGATTCGCGTACGCGCAGCCGGGTTCAGGGGCCGAGGAATGGAACGTCTGGGCCCGCATTCCCCCGCGAGGAACAGGAGTGGGAGGCCTTGTGCCACCGCGCGGTTCGGCAGGGCCCTGGGGTTTCACCCCAAACCCCAATCGAGAGTGCGGAGAAAAGGGCCAGGCTCGGACGGGCTGGCTCCGAGGCTGCACCAGAGGTGGAGATTGGCGGCGTGCGTGATCAAGACAAGCTACCAAAACCCGCCAATGGCGACCAAACAAAGCCGCCGTCGTGGGAGTTGTAGGCATAAATACAAGGACCGTCATTGAAGATTGTGGCGGCCCCGGTCCGGCACATCGGGCCCCAGCATGGAGGGCTTTGGGGGCGGCGCTATCTCGGGACTATGACTGGAGGATCAGAATCATGCTTTGGCTCAGGAAAAAAAAAGAACGTTGTTTGCTCCGGCCAGAAAAAAAAAGAAAAAAAGAAAAAAAAAGGAAAGCGCGCAGCCTTGCCCAGCTCACGATGCCACTCTTATCCCTCAGGGAGGCGGGTCAAAGACGACCCAGCTCCCGTCCCAGCCGTCAAACCTATCGACGATCAGCGACGCGGTCCTCTCCCACGGCACCTTGAAGGCGCCCGAGTTGAACCGGGGCGAGTACACAGCCACGGGCTCCCCCGTCCCGGCCGCCTCGTCGAGCTGCAGGCGCAGGTCCGCGAGCGCCTGCGACGTCTGGTCCAGGATGACGCCGGCGGGGTCCCTGCCGGGCTTGCCCGTCCCGGCGTCGGGCCTGCCATAGCCGAAGCTCGTGAAGACGCACGCGATGGTGACGGCGGGCCCGCCCCTCCGGACGTCGCCGGGCTGCGGCGGGATCAACAGGCAGCGGCCGGCGACGGCGTCGCGCGCGGGCCAGCGGTCGTCCGGGCGCACCTTTGCGGCGGCGCAAAAGTCGGCGTAGACGCGGTACGCGGCCGGGAAGGACGCCCGCAGCGCCGCGGCCACGCCCGAGCCCCAAGTGCCCAGGCCGTTGGCGGCGTGCACCACGACGGCGCCGGCGGGGATGTCGGCGATGGCCAGGTGCGCGTGCGAGAGGGCGAACCTGGCGGGGCGGGACATTGCTGCTGTGTTGCTTTCCTGCTGGGTGTGTGTGTGTGTGTGTGTGTGTGTGTGTGTGTTTGCAGAAGCAAGGCTGCGGGTTTACGTCTGGCTGCTCGTGGTTGTAGAAACTTGGGTTGAGCCTCGTCGCTGTCGCGTGTTTCCCTTGCGCATCTGCCTGCTGCCTGGCGTCTGCCTGAGCTGAGCGAGACCGCAGGCTACAATAGCGTCACACTGTGCGAGCGAGAACAACTTCAGAATTCCGCACGGATATCGTCTCCTATAATGTGGGTTTATTTCATATCTCTAGCTTTCTGGGATCTTATGCACACCTACCTACCTGGTAGGTACCTAGTTTTTTAAGGATCGGCCCGGGTGCATCCGTTTCTACAGCAAAAAAGGTCAAACCTGCTCCTTGCTTATTGTATACCTCCATCAATCAAACGATAGTTCCTGGCTTCGCCTTTGCCTCGTCCGCCAGCTCAGCCAGCGTCCTGAACTTGATGCCCGCAAAGTACTTCTCCCTGTGCGCCGCCACCTTGTCGGCCGGCATCTCCAGCGCCTCGCTGTGGCCGATGAGCTCGAACGCGGCCACGATCCCACTCGGGTCGTCCTCGGCAGCGGCCGCCTTGTACTGCTCGACCGACTGCGCCAGCGACCTCTTCTTCAGCATGTAGTCCGGCTCCCTCCCCTTCACGAACCCCCACAGCCCGCGCCACGTCGTCCGCTCGCCCGACACGTACACCCACTTCTCCCACGCCACCCCCTCCGCCGCGGCCGTCACCAGCCGCGCCGTCGCGCGCGCCGCGTCGCGCGCCGCCGTCACGTCCACGGCGGCGCCGCCCAGCCCGTACAGCGTAAAGGTGCGCGCCGCGTGGTCCTGCGGCCACGCCTCCCCGATGTCGGCCAGGTGGCGCGAGGTCCGCGGCAGCACGTAGTCTGCCAGCCAGCCGCACGAGACGGCGGTCCACTCGACCTCGCGCTGCGCCGCTAGCGCGTCGACGACCTCCTGCATGTGCGCGCCCGCGCCCAGCGGCTGGTCCGGCACGTCCTCGTGGTTGGAGCCCCAATGCGACACCACCAGGCGGCGGCAGCGCGCGCCCGGCCGCCGGCACGCGTCGAGGAGCGCCAGGTGGGTCGCGACGAAGGCGCGGCCCGCGGTCGGCGGGATGGTGGCGACGACGACGTCGACGTCGGCGAGGCCCGCGGCGAGGCCCGCGGGCGTGTAGTCGGTGACGCGCTGCTCGACGCCCAGGGCTTCGAGGTCGGGCTTGCGCGAGCGCGTGAGCACGACTAGCTCGTGGCCCTCCTTGGGTATCTCCTCGAGGAGATAGCGGCCAAAGTTGCCGACGCCCGCGATTGCGACCTTCATAATGGTGATATTTCCTGGCTGGTTGGAAGGGAGGAGAATCGAGTGAGATGCTGGTGAGGCTTGGGTAGCATGTATCGCCACGGGGGAAATGCCAGACGTCCAAGAGGAGGAGAGGGTGCGTTTTATACCCGCCCGTCTCTATCAGGCCGCCCGCGGGAATGCAGCGGCCAAGGCCGGCGACAGGTGGAAGTCCTATATGACGGTCACAGCTCGCGATTTCTGTTACGATTCATGTCTTTTTCCTCGCCGGAAAAAGGACGTCTTCCACAGCTTGCCCAGGCTGCAAGGCCACCTGCCGGCCCACCATCTTGCCACCCCAAATATCAGAAGCCGGACACCATCGTCGACGGCTAGCCCAGGAATCCCGCCTTTACATAGGGCCCGCGGAGTCCGCTTGCCGGCGGATTTGTCACTAGTGACACGACTGCTTGTGTTTGTAATCAACACAGTTTGTCATCACCGTTTCCTCAAGCCTTGGCGCATACGCACTAGTGCTCTTGGCCAAGTTGTTCTAGGTGGGTGCATAGGATCCGGTCAAGACGTGATCGCCCCAGAATTTTTCCCGGCTGCTGTACCAGGCACCAATCGTATTGCAAGGCTATCGAACCCTTTCCAGATTCTGATCTCCCTGACGCATCGACGAAAGCCACCCAAATCATGGGAATGAACAAAAGGATGGAGAAAGGAACCCATCCCACCAACCCAGCCCAGACACCAACAAGCTGCTCAACATCAAGCCCAGCACCTAATCAACCACCAAAGCCCGCTTCCAAAGCCCCCAAAAGAACCCATCCTCCCAAGCCTTGACGCTTTCCTGCTCCTGGATCCAGACACCAAACTGCTCGTTCCACTGCGGGTAGGCGTTGTCGGAGCCGATGTAGAGCAGGGATGAGTCCACGTCCACAACCTTGGTGTGCAGCCTCTTGCTGTGCGGCAGAGAGGGGGAGTCGAGAACACTGCGCTTGGCGTGGAACCTCGTTTCCAAAATCGTCGAGACGTCCGAGACGGGATTGACGAGGCCCGACTTGGCCATGCCGCTCATGACTATCTGGAGGCGGCTCTTGAGCTCCGTGAGCGTTGTGTTGTCTTGGTACCCGAGCGGGTCGTTGACGCGTTCGCTGAGCACCAGGTAGAAGCCCTTTTCGGGGTCCTTTGGGTGGTTGGTGTCGATGGAAACCAGCGCTGTGGAGATTGCCATAAGAAGGTCTGTATCAAAGGAGACCACGGTCTTGTCAGAACTCATGCCAGCTTGCTGGTTGCGTCGTATAACCGTGTATGGGGTGATTATCATACCATATGGCCAGACCTTGCCGTCCCAGTGGAAGGTTATTTCGGGGATTTTTTTATTGAACCAGCTGTTGATGAAGTTGATGGCGAATTTCGTGTACTCGTTTGCTGTCAAGTCCCAATTGACAAGCATCTGCTGGGACATCTGCTCGTTGGGAACCCATGTTAGCTCGTGTGGCATTCTCAACAGGGGTGAACCCCCAGTTGAAGAAGTTGGACCACTTGCATAAACGTTGTCCCTTGCCTGCGAGATGGCGTGCACACGAGCCGCGCGGCTGGCCCAAGCGGCAGGGGTGACGCCGAGGCTCTTGAGATCCGACATGACATTGACATCACTCGTGCCGTTGACAAGCGACGCAATATAAGAGCTGAGAGGGTCAGAGAATGCGGAGAGAACTTCGAAGAGAATCTGGTTGATGATATCTCTGACAGCATCAAGTAGTTGCGCAGGGTACGCAATGCCGAGTGCAAGCTGGAAGTTTCCAATCTTGCCCACGGAAAGCACGGGGACTTTGTTCCCGCTGAGGCGAGGGGTATTCTGGGGGAACAAGGGAGCAGATCTTCCAAGGGGGATCCCGCCTTGGGGTGCGGAACCGTTCAGCGGCGCGGACCAGATGACGCCGGCTGGGTCGTTCTTTGATACCTGATTGCCGTTTAGATACCTAAAAGGGCCAGGACTGTCTTAGTACGCCGCTTTTTTTGTGAGCAGGGGCAGTTGTTGCCTACTCCCACAGATAGTCGGAATAGTTGTGCGCCGCAAGCGCTGCGTCCCCCAGAATAGTGATGTCGTTGTCGATGAGGCTCCCGCCACCTTTGGAGGTGTAGAGGTCGTAGTAGTTCCCGCCTCCTGTCAAAAGGGCCCGACCGTCGACTGCCACGATTTTGGCGTGATTCCAGCTGGGCGGACTTAGGGTCAGAGAGGACAAGCCCTCAATGAAGAGACTAAAGAGATCCCTGGAAAAGTCGTTCATCGTGTGGTTCAGAAAGTCAATGACGTTCCAAGGTACGTATGGGTAGTTATCGGGGTTCAGGTCGATCAGAGAGTTGACCCATTTCTTGACGACGCCCTCGATATCAGTGGTTGTTCCTATGGGTAATTTAGGACGTCAGCCCGGTTTTCGGTCAATAAAGGTATAGCAACTGCTTACGAGACGGTTGGATTGAACGATCCAACGTAGAGCATGGCCTTGGGGTGCTTGAAGATGGGCTTGCCGCCAGGCCAGAACACCTCGGTGAAGTTCTCAGGGCAGATATTCTTGGCGGGAGGGCTAGGAAAGCCGGCCAGGAAGCGAATGACAGGCGTGACAGTGGGTCCCACGCCATCGACGGTCTCGGCAATGATCTGGATCAAGGTCTTGCCGGCGTCGGGGCCCTCATGCAGCTTTTCGTTGAAGAATTCTGCGGACGGCTCCGCCAGCTGCAGGATGTCGATGAAGGAGTAGTCCGGGTCTTTGCTCCCGTCCCTCTGATGGCCCAAGACGACGGTGTCACGGAAAGCCTGTTCGAGCACGCTGGGCAGGTCTCCACGGCCGTAGTTGTCCCATGTTCCGTAAGGGATGAACTGGAAAGGGGAAAAGGGGTCCTTGCCGTACCCAAGCTGCTGGTTGTTGGTGGTGGAGTAGGCGATCTGGGCCAGAGCGCCGCCTGGGTCGAGGCCGGCAATGAAGCTTTGGAGTCCGGCGAGCGCCATGGTTGGGATTGATGGGATTCCAGTGAGGATGATGGGTCAGGTATCAGAGGGAGGAAGAGGAGGTTGTGCCTCTGGTGCTCTGTGGGATCCCTGAGAACTGTGATAGTTGGTGAAGGGCCAGCCTCCATTAAATAGCCGGACCAGATGCCATGTCCTTTGTCGGTTGCATGTTGGCATTCACAGTTGGGCTTGCTCTGGGCCGCCTCTTGGACTGGGAGGGCACACCTTCCTGGGGAGATGCAACAGCTCGACGGCTCAACGGCTCAACGGCTCAGCCCAATACATGCGTCCCGATATGGAAGTCCATCTCTTGGACATGCGGGCAGCAAGGCCACAGCTCGACCAATGAGCTGCAGTGCCTGGCAGACTGGCCTAGCAGCCAAGTTTAAAAGGTGGGGAGCGCAACGGTGCGGGGTGGCCGTTCAGCCAGCCCGGGAGCTTGGGATGATGGCCACCGAGAATGGATTGAGATAATATTTGAGATAATATTGCTTGCAGCTACCACTCGAGCCATGCTTGGAGTCTTGATTGGAGCTTTGGGCCTCGACCAGGCGGCTGAGAAGGGCCGATATGTCGGCCATGCCCTGCTGAGCAGCCTTTGTCAAGGGGCCGAGCATTTGCTCTGTGTTGGCGCGATGGTGGGACGCCGAGGAGCTGGAGATTTGGAGCTGGAGCTTTGGAGCTAGAGATGAGGATGCAGGCCTGGCTTCTAGTCAAGCTTTTGGGACCGCTGGGTGACAGCGGCATGGGAATTCACTGCGGGGTACTGACCCGCCTCCCAATGCAGGCTGGAATGGAAAGAGCGAATGAAAGAGGCGGTGCTGGAAGGCGCTTGCGAGTGAATGGACCTGTGGGTGAATGGATCTGCGGGCTCCACCCGCTTCGGTCCTCGCCAGATGACCGCTTCGTGTGTGCCCGTTCCCGTGCGTCCTTGTTCGCTCCATGCCCGCTCGATCGCAGCTGAAATCCCCTTCTCCTACTCCAAAACAAGTCTCGACAGTCCCGGCCAGCAGCGACTCGAACCCACCCACTTCCCACAGCACGCGACAGCCGTCCCCAAGCAGAGCAAGCAGAGAACATGTCGGCACAGGAATACTACAACAGCGGCGGAGGCCACCCGCAGCAGCAGCCATACGGCCAGCAGGGCTTCAGCACCGAGCAGCAGCCGCAGCAGCCCCACGGCTACACCAGCGGCGGCTTCGGGGCACAGGGCTACGGTGGTCCGGCCTTTCAGGAGGTAATGACGTCACGCCCTGTCCTGTCCTCTACTCTCCCTTCAGTACCTTTGCCGTTCAATGGTCACTGACACGCCCGCACCCGCGGCATTGCTCTAGGCCCAATATGCGCCTCCGCAGCCTCACCCGGGCGCCTATGCTCAGGGTCCTCCTCCCCCGGGCGTGCCGAACTCGGTGCCGTTCCAGTACGGCCACGGCGCTGCGCAGGGAGGTCCCCCGTACCCCACAAACGCAGGCCAAGATTTCCAGGGTCAGCAACCCCCGCCCTACGGCCAGCACGGCTTCCAGGGGCCGCCCCCGACATTCTCGGGGCAACCTCAGGGCTACCAGGGGCCGAATCAGGCCTTCCAGGGACGGCACTACGCGCCTCCGGGCCAGCAGCCGCACCAACAGCCTCATGGCGGTGATAGCGGCCAGGCAAAGGGCGATGACCGAGGTCTGGCGGGACTCGCAGGAGCTGCAGTCGGTAGCAGCAGCGTGATTGGGAGCATGCTGGGACAGGTCCAGGGAAAGCCCGAAAAGAAGGAGAAGAAGGACAAGAAGGAAAAGAAAGACAAGGACAAGAAGGACAAAAAGGACAAGGACAAGAAGAAGGATAAGAAGCCCAAGGACAAGCACCACAAGCGCAAGGGCAGTGGCTCGAGCAGCTCGAGCGGCAGCGACTCGGACTGACGAGGCGAGGCGCTCGCTCGCAGGGCTCGGTTCCCAAGCTAGGTAGAGGATTGAAAGGAGTAAAGGTTGGATTGAAATGTTTTATGAACAGCCGTCTGCGCTGGACCTTTGAACAATAAGACGGCATGGGAGAGTTGAGCTGTGTAGTAAGAGAAATTGGCCGCTTGAATGCACGATGCGGCATTTAAAGGTCGAGGAGGACACTTGGACGCTGAAAGTCTCGGAGAAATGCATGGACAGACGGCATGACGCCCTGGCCGCCAACTGCTCCCACCCGAAATTAACCACCCGTAATCCCCATTGTCTAGACCATCGTCAGCAGGCTAGGCCACATGTCCATGACAAAGGCTTGTCCCCTCATCAGCCCGCACTTGTCGTATGCTCCCGCTCCCAATCTTGGGAACAGTGAAGAAACCTGGTATTAACTCGCCAGTAAAAAGTGCAAAAACACAGCCAAAGTACCAACGTCCACATATCGTAACCGACATGCATCCATCCTCGACCCCCAAAAGCAACACGCACACCCCCCAACACGCCCCTCACCCCACCCGCGGCGGCCCGCCCGAGCAGCACCCGCCGTCGTTGCCGCAGCACGCGCCGCCGTGGTCGCTGAAGCAGCAGCCCCCGTTGTTGCTGAAGCAGCACCCGCCGTTGTCGCTGAAGCAGCAGGCCCCGTGGTCGCTGAAGCAGCAGCCGCCGTGCGAGCTGAAGCAGCACCCGCCCGTCGACGAGCAGCACGCGCCGGGGTCGCCGCCGTCGCGGTCTTGGGTCGGCGGGGGTGGTGGTCGGTTCGCGTCCATGCGCTCGTGGCGCGTCGAGTACTGGCTGCCGTTGCTACTGCTGCTGCGGCGTCGTGGCGTGTCGGCTGTAGGGGATTGGGGCGGGGGAGGCGCGGCGGCCGAGGCGTGGGCGGGCGCGGATTCGCTGTAGGGCGGCGGCGGCGGGTGGGATGTGTCGATTGGAGATGTTGTGGCGTCTTTCATTATGGTATGGTCCTGGGTGATGGATTTCAGTAGGTTGAAGGGCTGTTTTGTATCTAAGTGGTTGGCGATTTGCAGCGGCTGTCAGAGGTTTTGGTTTTGGCCTCTTTCTGTCTCCTGGTGGAGTTTGCTGGCACCGTCTCATCACGTCAAAGGCCAGGCGTTCCATTTATCATCTCATCGTCGCTGAAATAAATCAGGCTAGCTTCTTGGCTGCGTGGCCAATAGTATGGCGGCTTCGTCGCATTCGTCGGGTTCCTTTCAGCTGAAGGAAAATGACGCGCGTTTTTCCAGATGGCGTGGAAGGGGCCGCGCCATGGCAAGCCACACACCACACACACACACACACACACACACGCCCCGTGCATCGCCTCGACCCGGGCATTACCAGAGGTAGCCCAAATCATCAGCAGTATGGGCCAATGAGAGAGTGAGAGATTGCGTGTTCATCGTGTCATCAAGGTCATGAATTATCGTTATCTGCTGGCTGGGGTAGGCCTCCCACTAGATACCACCGTGTCAGCCCACCGTCACCTGGCGTAGCCCGGAATGCCGTCCTTCCCCATTAGATCTTGATCTCCGACTTGAGCTTCAGGTCCCTCGAGCTGAAGCCGACGTCGACGCCGATGGCGCCCTCGGGCAGCCTCCAGGCCTGCGCGGTGGTGTCCCAGAAGCTCAGGTCGCGGCGCATGAGCGCGAACTCGACCTCGGCGCTGGCGCCGGGCGCGAGCTTGACCTTTTCGAAGCCGCGCAGGTTGCGCACCGGCGTGCCCTTGCCGGCCTCGGCGCCCGGCAGCGACAGGTACAGCTGCGCGACCGTGGCGCCCTCGCGCTCGCCCGTGTTCCTGACCGTGGCCTTGACCGTCGCCAGCGTCTCCCACAGCTGCACGTTGCCGCCGGGCGCGATGGGCGCCGACGGGTCCGGCAGGCGCGACGGGTTGGACGCCTGTACCTTGACTTGCACGCCCGAGAGCTCAAAGGTCGTGTAGCTGAGGCCGAAGCCGAACTCGTAGGCGGGCGTCTTGTTTTGTGCGTCAAACTCCTTGTAGTCGATCAGCTGGCCCTCGACAAAGTCGGCCTGCCACGCGTCCGGGTCCGTCGACTGGACCAGCTCGGTGCTGTTGACGAGGTTCTTGTTGTAGTCGGTCGCCTGGTCCGCGAGCGTGTACGGCAGCTTGCCCGACGGGTTCACGTCGCCCCAGACGAGGTCGACGAGCGAATTGCCCGTCTCCTGGCCCGGCATATGCGCGGCGAGGATGGCCGTGACGTTGGGGTTGTTCCTCCACGGCATCACCACGGGCGCGCCGCCGTGGATCACGACGATGGTGTTGTTGCAAAGCGCCGCCGTCTTCTCGACCACCACGGTCGCGTTCCACTGCGCCTCGAGGTTGATCCGGTCGTTCCCCTCGGTCGCCCACGACTTGAGGAACACGAGGCACACCTCGGGCACGGGGAAGATCATGGCGAGGCCGCCGGCGGTGATGGCCCCGTTGCTGGTCATGTACTGCACCAAGGCGCCGTAGCTGCGACCGCGCGCCTTGATGGCCTCGAGGGGGGAAACCACGTAGGTGTAGCGGCCGGTGCCGGATCCGCCGCCGAGGGGCAGCGTTCCGATGTCGTAATCGCCTCCGACGCCGCCAAAGAAGCCGCCGGCCGTGTAGGAACCCCGGGTGAAGTCGGCCGCGTCGTTGCCAAAAACGCCAATGTTCATGGGCTTCTTCAGCGGAAGCGCCCCCTTCTCGTTCTTCAGGAGCACGGATCCGGCGGCGCCGAGCTCGCGGACGTGCTCATGGTGGTTCCTGCGCACGTCGACCGTGGGGCCGAGGGGGAATTCGTGGTTCCAGGCGTCGGGCTGCAAGTAGCCGATGGGCACCGTGGAGCCGTCGACAGGGGGGTAGTCCTTGTCCTGACCCAGGGCGAAGTAGGGAGTCATGATGCGCTCAATCATGTCGTCGACCCTCCGGGAGGAGAGTGTGCCGTTGTTGACCGCAGTGGTGATGTTCTTGCCAAAGTAAGACTCGAGGGTTGGGGCAAAAAAATTGAGCGGTCCGGGCATGTTCATGTCCAGACCAGCCTCAATGGAGGCGACTCCGGAATGGGTAGCGGCCCTGTTATGGCCATTAGCAAAAACAAGGCACTGCATGTTTCATCTGGTAGAGGGAGGTAGCCACGCACCAGTCCGACACGACGAAGCCCTGGAAGCCGAGCTCGGTCTTGAGAAGCCCGTTGAGGGTCTTGCTGTTCTGGCAGCCGTAGCTGCCGTTGATCCTCTGGTAAGAGCACATTATGGACGTGGTGCCGGCCCTGACGGCGTTGTAAAAGGGCCACAGGTAGGTCTCGTGCATTGTGCGGTCGTCAATGTTGGACGAGATGGCCTCAACCCCCTTGCCATCCACCGTCGTGGGGTTGCGCTGCTCCTCCTGCTCGTTGCCGATGAAGTGCTTGGTGCAGGTTTGCACGCCGACCGACTGTCAAAGTGTCAGTATTACAGGGAATAGGCTCGGCGCCAACATGTTGCTGGAGAGGGCCCCTTACCTGCATCCCCTTGACCGTCTGCTCTGCCAGGACGCCCGCGAGGTACGAGTCGGGGGAGAATCCCTCCCAGTTGCGCCCGGCGTACGGGGACCTTCCAAGGGGACCAATTACAGGGCCGAGGATGATGTGAGAGCCCTTGTCACGGAACTCTCGGGCCATCAGCACGCCGTGCTTGTAGATGAGGTCCTTGTCCCACGACGAAGCCGCGCTGACACCGCCCGGGAAGACGGTGACGTAAGTGGCCTGGCGGAGGGTGGCCGGGCCGTCCTGTAGGCACAGGCCGGTGAAGTTGAGGCGCGGCACGGGGGCGATGTTGCCTACGCAGGGACCGGGGGTGCCCGTGACCATGTTCGCCTTCTCCTCGGGCGTCAGCTGCGCGACGAAGTCCTTGGCTTTGGCCAGGCCAGCTTCCCATCCTCCAGAGCCCAAGATTTCGGCTAGAGGTGCGAGCAGATTAGCACAAGTACGAGACAGAAAAAAAAGTGGGATGGTCTGCGGAAGGCTTTTGGCTTGTTGACAACGTACGCGACGGGTAGACAGGCTCGCTCGTGCCATACTGAGTATGCTTGATGCCGAACTGGGCTTCCGAGAGGGAGGCCCAAGCGAGGAGAGCGAAAGCACTTGAGCGTAACATCTTGGAAGGATTCGGGAAGAGGAGGAATCGCGTGTCCGGGGGCCCGAATGCTCTTTGACGGTGCTATGGGATGTGCGGCTTTTTATACGCATGTCTGCCCCATCGTAGGCGGCCGAGGGACCGGCACTGTGCCCACTCGAGTAGTACCCTGAATGTTTCCATTGGAATATCAAGGACTCCATTGGAATATCAAGATATCCCCAGCACAATGCGAGATGTGCGAACCCGGCCGTCCGGCATGTGGGCCGACAGGCAACGCAGCTACACGCAGCCGGAGTGTTTGGTTGCAACGGACAACAAGTGGCGGTGACGATGCCTGATGGGCCAGGGATGAGGGCCACATGGGTGGCCGTTATGAGTCGGGCATGGCGACGATGGCATGTGGCGGCGGTTGATCATCGGGCTCGTCGGGGGAAAAAAGGGTAGCGGGGAAAGAAGGGGAGCGATCCGGGGTATCGTGGTATCTGGAAAGGGAACAAAACGATAAACGATTCTATGTGAGGTAGGATTCTGGGGAGCAGCCAAGGAATGTTTGCGGGGATGGGGCGTCCCGGGTCAACATCGGAGTGAGGCCTTTCCCCGGATCGCTCGTCATCAACGGTGCTGGCATCGGAACAGGCGTGACAGGGTGAGAGGCCAGGAGCCTAGGCGTTGAACGGGGCTACCTCGGGGCAACCATGTGGCTGGGGTCCATCCCCGCATCCCCGCACTCCCCGTACTGGAGGGGGAGTGGGATGGATCCAGGAACAGAGGTGTTCGAATCCGGTTCGTGAGCCCTGCCTGAATGGCCAGATGCTTGGGAAAGAAAATTACCAGCGGCGGGAGCTGGAAATTTTTGGCAGTGCTCAGCTATGCCCGGCACTCGCCTGGCCGTGGCCTTGGAGACTTGCATTGCTGGGCGATGTCCGGAGGCTGAAAGCCAAGGGCCGGGATATTTTATCTTGCCTCTCTCATAGCAGCATCTGTCCAAGCCAAGGAGCTAGGACTAGCGAGGAGGGCACACCTGAAGACATGGCTGCCAGCCTCTATGGCCCACACGAGGCTTGCTGTGAGGAACAACAGTCAAGGTCGTGTCCGTCAAGTGGAGTTTGGGTGCAAACCTTTGCACGCCTTATTCGGCCCGTTCCCCTCAAGCTGCCGGCATCATTGTGGGCAGGCGTCATCTCGTGCCACGTCGAGAAACAAAAGCGTATGTTGGAGACATCGGTATATCACTCTGGGTGGAGGAATCGATATATCGCTCCGGGTGGAGAGAAAAAGAGTGACGGCAGATGATTTCGCTCAGTTCCTTTTGCCGAGCAAGAATTTCATCATTTGCGCGAGGAGAACCCCGACCCAAGGCTGCCAAATTGCCCGCGGAGCAGCGAAAAAAAAAAGAAAAAAACAGTTCAAATCTCCCCTACTCCACAGGGTCCCGCCAACCCTGCTCCTCCATCGATTTCTCATACTCCTCGTCCGTCTCGAGATCGAACGGGACAGGCTTGGTGATGGGCACCACGGGGACGCCCGCAGCCTCGAGCTGCTTGAGCCGCTTCGCCGTCGCCGGCTTGGACCGGTTGATGCTGTACACCTTGATCCTGTGTGCCGACGACGTGACGTGAAGGTCCCAGTTCCTATCAACGGCGAGATCCCAGTCAGCAATACTATCCCTGCCCTTTGTTTCTCCGAGGCAAGCGAGGGTCAAGTCCCTACCATGCACTCCTGACATATGTCGGCTGCGTGTTCATGGCGTTGTCCCACGTCCGCACCACCAGCTCCAGCCAGCCCTCGGCGTCGACGGGGAGGTCCATCTCCCACGTGCGCCAGGCGTGGAAGTACTTGGTGCTCATGTTCCTGTACGGCACCTCGTACCAGATGGCTGTCGAATACGACGTCGCAATCGCAGTTAGCGGCCCGGATCTCTTTAGTCAACGAGGAGCATTCCTCTTGCACTCACCGCCGCCATCCCCCGAGACCTCGACCCGAACCGGCCAGTGGCCTCCGCCCGAGTACGCCCAGCCGCGCAGCCGGATCTTGCCGTCGTGCACGATCTGGTCCATGTTGTTGGGGCTCATGATGGCCGAGCTCACGGGCATGTCCTGGATCGAGAAGCCGTTGCTGTACTTGGCGTTCTGCTTGCCGATCTGGGACGTGTAGTACAGGTACTCCTTCATCTGCACGGGTCTGTAGCCGTAAATCATAATGGTCAGCCATCCACACACGCGCGTGGCGCGTACATCCAACTTGGACAACAGGAGGACGGCCAGGGCGGACGAACGCAGGGCTGGGCCGCTTGATGGCCTTGACTTGATACAGCCACTTGCAGCTGCGCGCTCCAATGTAGCCAAACACGACGACGCGCAGCGGGTAGCCGTGGATCTTGGGCAGGGGCTCGCCGTTCATCTCCCAGGCGAGCAGGACCTCGTGGGCCTTGACCTTGCGCCAGGGCACGCTGACGAGGTAGTTCTGCACGTGGCCCTTCTTGAAGTACGTGTCGGCGCCGTAGAGCTCGAGGTTCTCGGCCCCGTCCACGAGCCCGCCGCAGTGCTTGATGACCCGCTTGAGCGACACGCCCGTCCAGCGCGCCGTGCCGATGGCGCCCTCGCCCCACGGCGCGTTGATCAGCTCGTCGCCGTCGCCCGGGTACTCCTGGATCTGCTCTATGCGCCGCGTGCCCGAGCACTGCAGCGTCGCCACCGTGCTCTGCCGCGGGAACAGGGTCTCGTCCTGGAGCTGCGCCAGCGTGAGCTGCTTGGGGTTCTTGACCAGGCCCGTGATGTCGAGCGTGAACCTGTCGGCGTCGATGTCGGGGATGCCGCCGTGGTTGCGGACAAAGTGCTGCGAGTCAGGGTCAGAAAAGGGGCTTGAACGAGTGACGAGGGGAAGAATCGCTTACATCTTTATTAGTGGTGATCTCGGTGCTGACCAGGCGATCCTATCGAGTTTTGTTCCCGTCAGAGCCGTAACCCGTAGCACAGAAACGGGGATCTCCTATCCCCCATGATCGCTCCCGCCATCCCACAACTCACCCTCGGCGGCTCCCCGTTGTAGGGAAACTGCAGCACGTGGATCATGTCCTCCGACTTCTCCTCCTTCACCACAGCCCAGCTGTAATTGGGGATCGACGCGAGTCCGCAGGCATAGTGGTACTGCTTGAACCGCTCGCCTGTGAGGACGGGGTTCGTGTCGGGAAGCGGCTGGAGCTGGAATTCCGGCGGCTGCAGGGATTCATCCAGTGTAAGTTGCCTCATCTCTGCCGTCACAGCAACCCCAAGCCCGTGCCGGAACTCACGTCAGGAAAGTCGTAGCCCTTCATAATCTCCTTTACCCTCTGCTTCTTTTCGGGGTACTTTTCCCACTCGATGTAGCCCCTCCATCCTTCCTTCTCCTCGGCGAAGTGCGGAAGCTCGCCCTTGGCGCGGAAGGGGATGGCGTTGGGTTCCGATGGTGCCATGTTGGTTTTGCCTATCGATTACTTATGCGTCTCTCTAGCAGAACATTGGGGAGAGAGGGAGAGAGAGAGCTGTCAACGCTTGCTGCTTTGGGCCGCGAATCCCATATATAGTGTCGCCCAAGGTCCTCCTCTGGCTGCTCGTCCCATCTCATGCACGCCCCGCCGAAGCTGCCGAGCACGATCTGGCACAACCCCCAAGTGCCGATGCCATAGCCAGCTACCAGACTGGCTGCTTTCTGCGTGTTATTCCGCATAAACCTCAAACTCGTAATGGGTGGTGGGGAAATAACGTCAACATGCGCCGCCCGTGTGTAAGCGTCCCCCCGGAAGCTTGTTCCCAAAGCTACCCCTCCGCCTAGGGCTCCCCGCGACCTTTGATAGGCTCTTTCCTTGGCTTGAGCGGATAGTTTGCGAGATTCGTGTTTTGGATGGACGAGCTTGGACGGTCTGGGCCACTACCAACAGGGTGCATAGCAGGCGAGCAGATGTGTCATGCGCAGGCGACGTACGCGCGCTGGAGCCGTTCATTGAGCGTCGTCGTTTCTGCAATTCGGCGGTGCGGCATACGGAATCCGGCGTTCGCACTCCCTCGGCAGCTCGGTTTCCATCATGGTGATGTCCTTTTGACCGCCGAGGTGTCATGGATCCGCATTCGCCATTATGAATACAACCAAGCATTCGAATCATTGCGCCGACTAGTCATGATGGGGGCGATCAATTTTCCTGCTCCTTCAGTTTCAATCACATTTCTCCAGTCTCTATATCTTGGTGCAGTTGTTGAATGGTATAGATATCAAAACCCCTTAGCCCAGCCGGCATACTCGCGACACGCCGACACTAGTTGAACAATGCGGGTCTCCACCAAGACATTTTCCCAATCGCAGGCGCGCATTTCTTTGCTGGGTGCGTCGGCAGGTGGTCGTTAGCCATGTGCCCACGGCGCCTGACAGTGAGGATAGCCACGAGTGGAAAGGATGCCCTCAGGTTGGCTGCTCTAGTCCGACGCTGCCATCGGCTAGCTTCAATCGCCCGTGTAGGCCACAACCACAGCCTCAAAAGGCGGCACAATGCGGCGCGTGGGCAGTCGCGGAACGGAGACTATCCCCTAATAGGAGAAAATACCCACACAAACTTCATCGGCGGTGACGTATCGGAGGCCAGCACCAACAGAAGCCGCACGCATCACTATCGGGGACGGACATGACGGTGCGGGGTTGCAGCCATTCTTATCTCCAAGATGCAACCGTACAGGTCAGTCGGCGAGCTCCGAAAAGAGCCCATTTGTCTACTTTTAGCCGCCGCAAGCCCTCCCAACAATGCTCCCAGGCATCATGTTCGAGTTGAACAGCCACACGACACCCTTGATTGGAGGTGCCCTCCAAGATGATTGCCCTTTGGCATAGCGACTCTCTGAACCTTTCCATCTGCCTGTCCGCCGCGGCAGTGGCTTGTCTACTATTTATACCGGTGGCATATCTGCGACACAGGAAGGCGACGAGCCGGGTCCAGGTGGCTCGAGACGTGGCGCTGTCCTTCCCTCCTTCCAGGAGACATGTCCTCCAGACCCTTGGCCTCCCAGGCTGCGCGGAAAAGGGGTGGCACGCACCTGCAGTCGACGTACCTCCCGAAATTCTGAGGGAAAATGCCCTACCTACCACGCGAGCGATCCAAGCCAGTGATGGGGGTGAGCTGTTCACCCCGACGGGCTTCTCGCTGCGAGATATATCGAGCCTCGGAAGCTTCCCCGACTACTCGCTGCTAAGCGGCGTCCGCCACCCTCGGCCCTGTGGAGACGATTTTGATATCAAACGCGCAACCTTCAGACCTTTCCGGCCGTTCAGATGGGAGTATCACCAGACGATGGGTAAGCTGTCCTTTTGGACGATCAGCTCCCAAGATCTAGAGGGCTTGCTAACAACCGCCTATATGACAGCCCTCTCTAAACTGGAACCGGATTACTGGCTGGAGCTGGAAAAGAACTACTTCAAGAGCATGGAAGCCCGCCGCGCGCTGATTGAGAAGCACGGCGACCGCATCTTATTTCACGACCCGGGCTCGGAGCTGGCCTGCCGCGAGCTCATGGAGATGGTGATCCAGTTTCTCTGCAAGCGATACCCCAAGTACTTCCACCTCGAGCCGGCCACCGACAGCCACAACAGAGCCGCCACGCTCGTCAACAACCTCCTCGGCACCCGCACCGTCCTCTCGCCGCAGCACCAGCACCCGCTGCGGGTGCTGGCGGCCAACGTGCCCGAGGACTTTGCGCTGATGCTGCGCAGCGAGCGCGACGGCCAGTACTACCTGCGGGCCGCCGTCGTCTGCTCGTCCGTCGGCTGGGACATCGCGTCCAAGCGCGGGCTGGGGCTGGACGCCATCCACGCGCCCGTGCCGCACTACGCGGCCCGCATGGCGCCCAGCATGCGGCGCTACTTCTCGCGCATGCCGACCGACCGCCCCATCCAGCGCTGCTCGTGGGGGCTCGTGGACTCGGAGCCGCTCTTCTCCAGCCCGCACGCCACCGCAGCCGCAGCCGCGGAGGGTGATGAAAACAACAAAAGCGGCGGGTGGCGCCGCAGCGCCTTCTCGGACGCGGAAATCGCCGCGGGGAGGGTCGGCGTCGACGACGTGCGCCTGCGCTGCGACTGGCAGACGCTGCGGCGCCTGCCGCTGAGCGGGGCCGTGTGCTTCAACTTCAGGGCCGTCTTCACGCCCCTGGCGGCGCTGCGGTCCGAGCCGTTCGTGCCGGCGCTGCTGGCCCGCGTGCTGGCCGAGGGGGACGGGCAGCTGGTGGGGCCGGACAAGTGCGACGGCCACGTTCGGGATCTGGCCCTGGCCGCGCTGGAGGGCTGGGCGGCCCAGCAGGTCGAGGAGGGCATCGCGCCGGCGGGCTGGGAGGTGCGGACCCTGGACGAGCATCCTTTTTACCCAGGGTGGGAGGAGTGGTGGAGGGGGCAGCAAGGGTTCTGATAGCTTCCATTGTTCCCACATGTGCTCGTTGTTAATTACAAGATGATGACCCTCACGTCCAACCTCTCAGCAGCCTCCATACAGCAAGACAAACAGGACCTCTCCCGGATCAAAACCCTTTTGTGTCCCGAGCACGCCAGGGTAAACAGACGGAGGTCGCTCGCCCCATCAATCGCGACCACCCCTCTTCTGAAATCGCCGTAGGGACCATCTCTAGGGCCACTAACTCCAGTATATTGCCACTGGTGGGATGGTGGGTGGGTGAGTGGACTGCTAGGGTCATGGCCGCAGTTCTCAACCATGAAGATATCGTTGACCCTCATCAGTACTTCTGCTGGATTTCGGCTGAGCCTGGGGTTGGTACTGTCGATATCCTTCCCAGTGTCGGTGGAAATCATATTCACTAATAACGCACCGTTCGCCTCCTCGGCGACCTCCCACGAGACGCGACGGTCAACGAACAGGTTGCATGGCCTATCCACTGGGCGCCCAAGCCTTGCGCTATCCGATTCAGAGCTTTCATGGCTTTTGACGAACGGACCATGGCCCACCACCGACGAATACTCGTCGTTCTTGTACATCAGCTTGCCGCGATAGTGGTCCAAGCTGAGGAACCCGTGCTTGCGAATTTGCGAGGTTTCGAAAATTGAAGGGTAAACCACTTGTCCTCGCATAGCGCTCGCGACGTATCTGTCGTGAGCCTTGTCGCCCAGGTGCCCCACAAGCTTTAAGACACCTTCGAGTATTTTGGTTGGGCTCCCGGCGGGGTCGCGCGATGTTACATCAAAAAGCGGGTGATAGATCATCTCTAGGTAGCCAATATCGAGTTGGAGATCTTCGGGCCACCTGAAAAGGGACACCCTCAGGACCACCGAGACGATGTGGTCAAGGGAGGCGGAGATGCTCTCAAACTCGCAGGGATTACCCACATTTCCCTCTTGGCTCGGCTGGCACACAACGCACCAACAGCACTCATCCAAAAACGACCTGACCGCAGGGATGTCCCTTAGAGCCAGATGTTCATCGAAGTCCCTCAATTTTGTTGCGTTGCTTAGACCAAGCAGCAGATTCATAACCCTTTCCACAGCTCGCTGTTCGGGAAAAGGGGAGATTCTGAGCTGGCTGGCGAGTTGAGGATCTTGGGCAGCTACGGTGCGAGGGTTGACACTGACGTTGAGTAGGGCCTGGCATATAGCATACGGCAGTGTTGCCACCAACGCTTGGCGATACCCATCGATGCATGTGTCGTGTCTGTCGAGAAGCCTCTGGCCGAAAACGTCGATGCTAACCATTCCTAAGCAGGGAATATCGGCTTCGGGTAGAACCAGTTCGCTCAGGCCACCGAGGCTATGGTGCACTTTGACCGTGAACTGGGGGTCGCGCCGACGATCTTCGTTCATTACAAAGATCTCCACAAGCGACTGCGGTTGTTCGATGATTCGTGTCCCGTCCTCCAAGTACACTGAGGGCGGGGCACCAAGGCACCATTTGGTGAATGCCACAAGCCAGGGCCAGCAGCGCGTGGTCATAATGGTTACGCCTGTTATTTTGGCGTCTCCTATCCTTCCAATCTGGCGGAAGCTGTCGACAACGAGTTCTAGGCAGTCAGGAGTCGGATGGCAATTTTGAAAACCCCCCGCCCGCCGCAACCTGTCGAGCGCCACGAGTAGCCCCCAGCCATGGACAGAGTCGGCGAAGCCCGCAGTCTGGCAGCGCGGCTCCAAGGCGAGAAGGAGGTCCCGCAGCTGTCTCAGTGTGGGCAGCTGCGTGGAGTCAGCCGCCGACTTGGACAGCATCAAGTCGAGAGCCTTGGCGGCCTGCATCGGCTTCATGGTGGTGATGAGGGCGGTTGCAAGCCCCAGGAACCGCACACCGGCCTTGCTCTTGCCCAGCTGCACGGCACTGTCGTGCTTGGAGAAGCCAATTTTGGCTTGGAGGAACCGGATCGGGATGCTTGGGGGTGTTGGGACTACTGAGGTTTCGATCTTGCTCATCGTCTCGTCGCTCATGGCCAAGGTTGAGCCGAATCTCTCGCAGGCTAGGAGGGCGATGGCCTGCACGTTGTCTGTCGTGGCAGCCTGGATGACGCCGCTCAGCAGGCTGATGGCCGAGCCAGGAGTGGTGTCGAGACTCCATTGTGCCTGTACTGCCATGGTATTGATCGATTTTGTTCAGAGAAATAGGTGGGGTCAAGGATGATTGCCCGCTTTAAGCGCCGGGAGAATTGAGATGACAGAATTGAAGAGGGAGGATCGTATCCGGTTGCCAGCCGCAAAGGGTATCGTCTAGGAGAGAGGGAAGCAAGTTGGGATGGAGGGGATCTTCCCGGACGACCATGAGAAACAAATCCAACCCCGCCCCAGCCTCAAAGCTGCACATTTGGGCACCGAACTACTGTCCAAGTGCGGGGATTTGGGCCACATCTCAGGAGCCAATCCCGTATCGCCCTTATGTACCTGTCAATACTTGATGTCGGAAATGGTTTGACACCAAGGTCTCGCTGTGAAGTACAGCAAAGAAACCAACAGGGGCGACAAGAGAAGCACCTTGTGCAGCAGCAGAGCTCGAATTAGAGAAACCTCAAGATGTTATAAGCCCATTTGGTAATAGGAGCTTGTACTCATACATCCAAGCCCCATGTCCAAAGCTCATGTAGAGGGGGCTTGTCCTAATGTGTGAACGCCAGAACCAAGGATTCCCAACCAAGCCTACACCCAGTCAAGACCGAGCCTACAAACAGGTCCCCTATCCCAATACCTAACGCGCTATTGCCGCTTCCTCCTCGTCCCCCAAAGTCCACTACCTCGTCGTGAGGGAACCTTATGTGCTGTCATGCAGTCGTGAAAAAGGAGAGGAACAATGTACAACGCCGCCAGCCACCCCGCATTTACGCCTTTCCAGCAACGCAGGTGGCCAGCTCGCCCAGGGTGGTGACGTTGCAGCTCAGGATGCACTGGACAGTAAGAAAGCCAGGTCAGCATCTCCATTGAGCTTGCTCTTTGGGAGATATAGGAGCAAAAAGAAAGAAAAAAAAACGGAAAGAAAGAGGAGCACATACATCGCCAGAGCTGGGCTGTTTGGCACAGTTGAAGGCGCACTTGGCACCCTTGGCGACGGCGTCGCCGAAGCAGTTGGCGCGGGGCTCGATGCGGGCGGCGTCGGCCGACGCGGCGGCCGGGGCGGCGGCGGCGAGCGAGAAGAGGGCCATGGCGACGGCGGCGACGGAGAACTGCATTTTTGCTAGTGGGTAGGTGGGTGGGTTGGGAGGGTTTTGTTGTGTTTTGAACGAGGGAACTGTAGTTGGATTGGGCTGGAAAGCGAGTGGAATAGGATGTAGATAGCGAGTGTGTAAAGACTGTGGTGATGCCGGCGGTGGTGGTCGACAAGAATACTAAAGATGGCCAGACCATCACGTCCTCTGATTCTTATACCAGCCGTCTGGACCAGGAACCCCCTTTTCCGCGCCTTTGCCCAGAGACCCGGCCAAGGCAAGCCGACATGCCCGTCCCCATCTTCGGGCCATCCTCTGACTCGCCGCGGAGAGGCCGGAGCAAGGCTGCACACCTCCCAAGAGGTCGCCACGGCGAGCTGCTTCCCAGGAAGCGTAAAGACCGAGAAAGGGGGGCACCCCCAGTTAATTATCCCGTCGCATTCGGGGCTCGCCACATTCATGCTTGGAGCGCAGCATTGTGGGCCTTTTGCATGGCCCCTCCCATTGAAATCGAGAGATGATCGGGAATGGGGCGAGGCTCTGCGGGGCGGGCCGGGGAGACAGGGGGCCACCCTTGAGTTTTTGCGTCAACCAGCCGATTCGCAGATCCTGGCGTCGGGAACGTGAGATTAAGTTCCTCAAAAGCGAAGTCTAGGGCAAATCGGGCTTCCCAAACGGAACAGGGAAGCAAAACAACCCAAGGCAACACACGGCAAGTAGAATTACCAACTCTAAGCTCTATTTATGGTACGTAGAAAAGACATTAAAACATAATACTGGTAGTGTTGCCAAAGATAGTCACAGTCACATAACACGTCGCCGCTCAGCCGCGCCTTCTTCACCTCCACTTTGTCCTCACAGCCCTCAGCAGCGCCCACGCCACCAGCCTGTAGATGACGGCGCACGCGGCCAGGTACGCGAGGTTGTGGCCCCCGTTGACGTTGAGCTTGTACAGGTCCAGCACGTCCTCGCCCGTCGCGATCCTGCAGGCCCCGTTCGGCAGGCGCTGCGCGTCCTCGCACGAGAATTCGACGCCGCGCAGCGTGAAGGGCGCGACGGCCAAGAAGGCGTAGCGTATCGGGCTGATGTAGTTGAAGATCTCGAAAATGCGCGGCATGTTGATGGACATGATGCCCCCGATGATGTTGGAGATACTCAACATGACGGAGCACAGGTTGATAGCAAAGCCTGTGTGCGCGCTCAGGAAGGTGTTGAACATCATGCCGACCGACTCGCCGCAGCTCACCACGAAGAAGCACACAAACGTGACGACGAAGAAGAGCTCGGCCGTGTACGCAAAGCCCACAGCAAACACGGCCAGGACGCCAAACACCATACACGACACGATCTCAAACGGCAGCTCGAGCAGCGTGTATGTCGCCACAAATGCCTCGACGGGGTACACGGCGTCGTCGTCCTCGGAGTAAAACACATTGCGCTCGGCCGGGTACACAGCCACGTTCTGGAGCATGCCGACGAAGTAGAAGGCGGCAATTTCCTGGATGAAACCGACGCGGTTCTGGACCGAGAAGAAGTCCGACTTGAGCGGCGAGAAGAAGAGGGCGAGGATGATACCGAGTCCGATGACTTGCAAAAGCCGTGCCACGAGCAGGGGCGGCTGGCGGCGGAAGTTGATAAAGGCGCGGTGCATCAAGATGGGAAACGCGGTGAAGAAGCTAGCGCGCTTCCGCACGAGGGCGCCGAGCTCGGCTGGCGTGGCGAGCTTGTCCTTGTGGAAGGACTTGCGCGACGGCGCTATCACCACGGGTGAACGCAGGTCGTCGTCGTCGATAGCATCCGCCTCGGCGGATTTCTCCTTGTCTGTGGGCGACGAAAGTTCGTCTGTCTCCCGGATGTCCGACAGGCGAGACGGAAACAGCATGGATGGCACCCCCTCGTTCCCAAACACCTTCTCGCCCGAAGCTCGCTCCTGCATCCTCGTCTGCTCCTGTATCTGCGTTTGCCACGCCGCCACAAGCGTCTGGACCTTGCGTCTGCTCTCGGCCTCGCGCTCCTCGTGCTGGAGGTCGATGGTGATGAGGTCGAGAGCGTAGTCGGCCGGGTTTGTGTTGTGAGGACACTCGTGGCCCTGGCTGGCAAAGTAGCTTACCATCTGCGACGAAGGGCCAGAGTAGACGGGCGAGCCGCCGCGCGCCAGGAGGAGCACATTTCCAAAGTGGCGGAAGAGATCCGACCGTGCTTGGTGGATGGTCAGAATAAGAGTCCGTCCTTCGCTCGCAAGACCAGAAAACAGCTCGAGAAGCGACAGGGTAGTGAATGCGTCCAGGCCACTAGTAGGTTCGTCCAGCAGCAGCACGCGCGGGTCCGTCAGAATCTGAACAGCGATGGTCACACGACGCTTCTCGCCACCCGAGATGCCCTTGATCAAATCACTTCCCACCAGGTTGTCGGCACAGTCTTTGAGTCCCATCTTCAGGAGCACCTCCTCGGCGCGCTTGTCCTTATCCTCTTTGCTCATCCAGGAGGGTAGACGTAGGCCGGCGGCGAACTTTAGAGTCTCTCGCACCGTCAAGCTGGGCAGGAGGGCGTCGTCATCCTGCGCCACGTACGAGCAAACGGAGCGAGTCACCGCCTCGGACGGCTCCGCCCCGTTGAAAGTGAGCTTGCCGGACCGTCGGTAATTGGTTCCAACAGTGTTGCGCAGGCGCAGCGCCATGGCGTTGAGGAGAGATGTCTTGCCGCTACCCGAGGGGCCCATTATCACGTTGATCTTGCCGGACTGAAAGGTGGTGGTGACGGGGTTTAGGATTGTCTTGGTAGGCAGCTTCTTGCCAAAAGACGAGCGCTTGTCTAACGAGAGTGTGAAAGAGTCGAGCCCGACGTCGATGGCGCGTACCTCGGCAATGGAACGAGCGTTCATCTTTTCCTTGCCCGAGGACAAGTCCGTGTCCGGGTTCCTCTGGCGGGCGATGGTCATCTCCACCTTGATAAAGGCCAGCGCAAGCCCCGCGGTGAGGTAGAAGAAGCCGACAAAGCCGGCCGCTGCCACAATTGGCCTCCACACCCAGTCCTCGGGGAAACCAAAGTTGTGCATGATCTGCTTGCCCGTGTAGGAGAGGCATCTGGGATCATCGGGGCTGTCGCTGAAGGGGCAGTCATAGAAGCTGTCCTCAAACTCATTTCCACAAAGTGAGCCGAACACGTAGTATGTGTAGGTAATATACTTGAGCCAGCGCACGTAAACGGGGATGGTGTCGCTTTGGATAAAGTATCCGCATGCCATGCTCTGTAGAGTGTAGTTGAGATTTGCGATGAGGGACGCCCCTGGGAAGTGGCGGACCAGGCCGATACAGGCCATGGCGCAGGTGACGGCAATGTAGTGGTTGATCAGGTTGCCGGCGAAGAATATCATGAACTTTTCGGCATCACGGTCAAAGCCAGCCATGAAGTAGAATAAGGCGCTGAAGATGAAGGGAACGGGAAAGTCTTCGGTAAAAACTCTTGCAAGGCGGCGCGAGAGCAAGAACGGGACAACATCGACACAGCCTTCGTTGTGCTCGCGGTCGAAAGTGGGGATGTCGATACTGAGACGGTACGCCTCAAAGAGCAGGAAGAGGTAGCCCTGGAGTCCGGCAGACGTATAAAGGGCGCCTTGGCGAGAGCGGATTCCGGAGTCGTCCCTACCTAGATTATAAAAGATGTAGCCAGTGCAGACTCCCATGAGAATGGCTTCGAGAACGGATGCCGCCATTCCCATGGGGTCGCGGTACGTCACCTTGAAGGTCCGGTCGGTCAGCACGACGGCTTGGCGGAAAAAGGACGCATGCTTCCGCGCCTCAATCTTGGCTTTGCGGGACGTGGCAACCTGTGCGCCGGATTCCAAGGCTGAGAAGCGCTTCCGAGACTCGTCGTCCCAAGTCTCCTTCAACCTGCGAACCCTCTCTGTGCTCTCCTGCTCCATTTCTGGAGTGCGGTTGTCGACTGCAGAGATGTCGATGACGAATTCGGCCGGGTTGACAAAAGGGGGCAACTCGAAGCCCAGGTCGGCGAACCAGGGAATGCAAGCCTTTGCCTCGCCCGAATAGACGGGGCTGCCCTTGGTCAGGACGACTAGGTTGTCGAATAGCTCCCAGATCTCGGTGCGCGGCTGGTGGATCGTCGTGATTATGGTACGGCCCTTTCCGGCGAGGGTCTTGAGCGTGCGCACTAGTTGGAAAGCCGAAGTACTGTCGAGTCTGTGTTGCATAATCCACGTAACGTTAGCGTCGCATCAGAAGCGAAGATTTCCAGTATAGAGCATAGCGAGAAGTTGGCGTACCCAGTTGTAGGCTCGTCAAGAAACAGGACCGAGGGATTTGCCAGCATCTGGACACCAATGCTAACTCTCCTCTTCTCGCCGCCCGAACATCCCTTGTGCGCATGGTCACCGATGCGCGTGTCGGCGCACTCCTTCAGACCAAGCTCCAGGATGACCTCCTCCACGACGCGCATGCGCTCCTCGGCCGTAGTGGATGGCGGTAGGCGCAGGTCGGCCGAGTAGCGGAGCGTCTCGCGGACAGTGAGGGTTGGCAGGAGGATATCCTGCTGCATCACGTAGGCGTGGCGCACCGAGTGGATACCGCCGCCGGGGGCAGCGGCGCCGTCACCGACATTGCGGAAGACGGCACTGCCCGAGTACGACAGGCGCGGGCTCGACATGCGCTCGGCGAGTGTGTTGAGCATGGTCGTCTTGCCAGAGCCGCTGCCGCCGATAATGGCGGTCAGGGTGCCCGGTGCGAACGAGGCCGAGACTGACTTTATCAGCACCTTGGTGTGGCCGCCGGGCGGGGTTTTGTCGCGGCCGATGACCTGCTGGAAAAGATCGCCGTAGGTCGACGGGTCCCACACGGAGGGGGCCGTGTTGACTGAGACGCCGAGGCCGCGGACCTGGATGTCGACCTCCTCGACGTCGGCAAGAGACAGGTTGTTTCCATCGTGGACGGCTTGTGTGGCCGCAACTTGGCCATTGTGCTTGGCGCCCATAGCGTGGTGGTCCATGATGGATGTCTCAATGGAGCTCGCCCGCTCCGAGTGAGTGGTGTCGACGGAAACGGGATCTTCGTGAGAAGGCTCGATAGGTGCCAGCGTTGACGTCGCCGATGCCTCGGCCGGGTCGGTTCGTGGGGGCGCTTCCTCACCCGAAGGTCGGCCTTCAGCCTGCGGTTTTTCGGACATGTTGGGTCGACTTGACGGTCAAGACTGGGCGCTGTGGCCTTGAGTCGCCGTCGATACTCGTGTGAGGGGTAATGGTCGGGATAGCCGCGGTCGCCGCCAAGGCCCCTTTATCCCAAGTAGATGCTCCCGACAAAGTACCTACTCCATGTCCGGCGTAAGAGCTACACGAGTACGCCGTGTTGACTGTAAGAAGCTTCCTGCAGCAGCCGTCGTAATCGCGTGTCGGGCGGGTGACGCTTTGGCGGGCAGGGCGCCTGGAGTACCGCGTGTTCTTGGACGTGAGGCTGAGGGAGCTCACGTAGACATCGGGCGAAGAGACAAAGACCGGCGAGGCAAGGCGACAAAAAGTAGCCGTCGAATAGAGGTGGGCACTCTGCGATTGACGGAGCCGGTGGGATTGGAACCAAACAATGACAGCCAGCAGCAGCAGATGCAAGGATCCAGTGTCGGCCAGGGGCAAGGCCCCGCCGCCCCGGCTCCCTGGAGAAGGATGAACCAAGAGCTGGGCCTTTCGTTCCGGCGTATTCGCGGTGTTGTCCATCGTATTGCGTGCGGCTTCCACTCGGGCGCCGGGCGAGCGACGAATTGTGGGCAGATGCAACCCTCCAATCCCGGGCCCAGAAGGGGAAGCAATAGCAGCAAGGGCGGAGGAGAGATTGCGGTTTTGGGCAAAGCGCCGGGTGGCGTGTTGGCGGGCAGTTGGCCGTTTGCCCGGCGAGACCAATTAGCAGCAGGGCTTGGCATTTTGCGATATTTTCTGTCGTGCTCGTGCGTTTCGTACATCGAGCCTCGCTCCTTCCTTTTGGCAACTCGTACACAGTAAACGCCTACAGGCCCCAGATCCCCCACTCTTGCTGGCCAGTGCTTTCTGGGTCGAGGGCGGACGGTGGGGTTACCGCCCAGAGGCGAGATTCGGCAATGTCACGATGGAAATTCATGATGCTTGGCAGCGCGTCTGACGCTAGCCCGCCTAGCTCTAGGGCGCCGTCGGGCCCAACATGCCGACGATGCCATGCGGACAACGGCGAGAGGGTGGCTAGCGTAAGCCACTGAGCTGCACAACGGCGCCCATTTAGGGCTGGGTAGCGTTGGCTGGAAGAAAAGAAGCGATAGGGAGACGGCGACAAACTGAACGAAGGACTCCAGCTCCTTCCAGCGAAGCGACCAAGATACAACGGCTTCAACCAACCCTCGCAAAGCCAATCTGCAAGCGACCCTGTCGATAGACGCATTCGCCAATCTTTTCTCGCTCAGTCCCCTCTTCTACGGTCAGGTTGCCAGCATCTTCCCTGACTCGCTGGCTCGAGCTTTAACCTTGTCGGTGAGCGAACCTGTCACCCTGTTTCCCACGCAAGCATTCCTCCACGAGATCAAGGGCGGCAATTTGTGCTACCTATTGTCAAGTGCATGATCACGATGAACGAGTACAAGACTATAAAGGGTTGGAGCACCCTTCTTTCCAATACAAAACCCATGCTTCCATGTCTTAGACGAAGCAAAATACAGCTAATTAGGATAAATTGCTTCAACACGCGATTGTAAATATTGAACACGAATGGAGCCTTTGTTGGCTATCATAACTATCGTCTCTGCCGTACTCCCGCCCATGGTGATGCTGCCCGAGATACCGAAAAGAAC